GTATTACTGTTAATTAAATATGAGTTGAGAATATATTATTTTGTGAATAAGATATATTCACTCTCAAGAAATAAGAAGATTAGAAAACTTAGAAATGATAAATGCTGAAAGATTTAGTTGTAGAATATACTTTATAAATCTTATACAATTCACATTCGAAATATAAATTGATAGAAAATGCTTGGTTATGATAAGAATAATACCAAAAAAACAGTATACAAAGAATTAAGATATTATTGCATTCATGCAACTAATAATTATTATTGTAATTTTTAAATGTGCTAAATTCATTTCCATTTTAGTAATGCTTCAAGATTGTTAAAAAAGAAAAAAACTATAAAATAGAACTCTATCAAAAAATATTGGACACAAGAACTATATTAAAATAGATTTAAATTAAGGGTTAATATAGGTTAGTTTTTAAATTAATCAAGTGTTATTGTAAGAAATTATAATTTACTCCAATAATTCTCTTAAAAGGAAACGGTTGTTTATATAAAACTCTCTTAAACCTTGAAAAATTGAAGTCTGGGTAAACCATAATATTAGATGTATCTAAATTATATATATATTCTTTTACTGCAAAGGGGTGTTAAAAAGGATATCTTGTATTTTTAACCTAAATTTCTTTAAATCTATAATCTGAACAATGCTTGTTTTTGACATCCCATAGACGGATAAAGTTATCACTACTACCAGAAGCTAATGTATTTCCATCAGGAGAGAAACAGACTGACCAGACACCATCATCATGACCATTTAATTTAGCTTTTTATTATCCTGTTTTGACATCCCATAGACGGATAGACTTATCAACACTACCAGAAGCTAATGTATTTCCATCAAGAGAGAAACAGACTGACCAGAGTACTAGTATGACCATCCAATTAATACAAATCGTTAATTTTTAATTATTGCCAGTTACATCCAAATAATTAAGCATTTAAATTAATTCCATTGATATTCACATTCTTAAATTAAGACTAAAATAAATTACATTTATAAAAATTACCTCCAAATAAATTAGTATTTTCTATTCTTATATTTTCAAAATTTTAGTTTGTTAGATCCACCTCAATTTCAACCAATGTTGTTAAATTATTTAATAGTCTTGTCCATTAGGAGTTAATTTACTTAATTCTGCAATAGTTTATTCAAAAAATAAACTGTCACAGCAAATTATTCTGTTTGAATAATTCTTAACTATAAATAATCATAGTTTAATTTTACAGTTGAACAATGAAAAAATTTACTCTCAAATACAATTAAAGAGTTTTTAATTCATTATTTAATATTGGAAAGCGATGTTACATAGAATTTGATAGATTATGCTATAAAAAAATTAAAGATAATAAGATATTTAAAGTAATAGAGAAGTGACTGCCATAATTTTAAGAACTTAGATATTATAAAATTCATTTTTATTTGATGCAAAAAACACTAACTTCTTTAAGTTTACAAAATATATTTTACAAAACCCAGTTTCTAATGCTGTTTCATTAAAATTGAACCTTTCTTTTTAATTCTGATTTTCAAAAGTTCATTTTGAAAATTAATAAAACAATTATCTGATCTCGAAAAAAAAAAACCTACCACCAATGTCATTCCCATTCAAAGCTTTATTTTATTCTAATTATTTCTAAAATAAAAATTGCAATTTTAAGTATACTATTAAAGAAAAATATGGAATAACAAAAAGTATAAGTATAGAAATTTTATATCTAATTATGAATATTTTTAAGAAGCTTCAGCTAATTTTCATCTCACTAATAAATGAATCATAGATCAAGACTATTTTAAATTTCTTAAGTCTTAAATGCTAAAGATATTTTGAAAAGTTTAAGCTTTTTTCCCCTTCTTATTTTAAAATGAGAAATTTTAAAAATAGACAAGTCAGGAATGAAGCCTGTTTTAATAATATTATTAGTATTGTAGATATAATTGTATTTCATATTTAATGAAATCGCAACAGTTGTGAAAACTCCAAATTTCTAGTTAAAGCATTTTAATAACACTAGAAATAAAGAAAAAAATTTTCTATGACATTGTAGATGGGTCTGTTGCTATTTATATAACGTCAAACTGTTTTTCCTATGTCTCATCTGAATTGATTTGTAAAAATATAAGAAAATATGACCTAATTTTATTATTTTTAATATATTTCAGTTTACTTTGTTTCTTTTAGTTTATTTTAAATATCCAAAATTTAATTTCAAATTTGAAGATAAGCAACAAATTTTATAGGCAATGAGTGTTAAATTTTTAAATGATAAAATAAAAATTATAATCAAGCCTTAATTATTAAATGTAAATTATAATATTTATCTGAACTTTCAGATATCTTATATCTATTCTCTTCATCATCATTTTGTAATTTGTTATTACAACATGAATTGATTTGATTTTTATATTTTTTTTGACAATATTTGAGTATTTTAATAAATTTGGGGAAATTATTATTTTACAAGAAAAACTCATATTGAAGAAATTAACAATATCAAGTAGTCAAAGTAAATTTTCGGCTTAAAATATGATGCAAATAAATTGTTTAATTATGGTATTCTTAAAATAAAATTATAAAGTTTAAGATAGAGAAAAGTGATTTTTCGTGGACATCAACACAATAATAATCTAAATTAATGAAACTGAATAAAACAGCAGTCTTCATATTTCAAGTAACTTGATTTAATTGATTCAATTCTTTTTATATTAATTAGAAATTCTAATTTTATTTAGGCAATTATCGCTGCAATATTAATTATGGTGAGATTTTCATTTTAAATTATTAAAAATCAAGAAACTCCAAATATCGTTTGCTCCTTTGATAATATTAGATATATTTTCAACCTCCCTGATGGATTTTAAAGATTCACAAAGGATAATTATGTCAAAATCAACCCTGGACCTAGAATATTTTTTACAAGATTAAGCACCCAAACAACAACTGGTTGTTTTGGATATTTATCAACATTATTGTAGTAAAATAGTGGAATAAGTACAAAAATTTATGGACCTAAAGGGCTTTGTAAATTAATAAATATGAAAAGATTTAATGAAATAGGAGGATTTAAAACTTTACCTTATTCTGTTTAAGAGTTTAATGGAAAATGCTTATTAGGAACAAAAGATATGAAGTTAATTGAAGAATTAATGAAACAGAATGATTGCAAGTTACAAGAGTATCTTGAGAAAATTAAAGAACATATTATTGATCCAAAAGAATCTAATAATGCTTCCATCTACATGAAAAATTCAACATTATTTAAGGATGAAAATTTAGAAATATAAGCTATTGAGATAAATGATACAATTCAATACATTATTTCATCATTCCCATAACCAGGAAACTACAATAAAGAAAAATTATCATAATTTAATGTTCCAACAAACAAAATGCAAGAAATGTAAAAAAATGGTAAAGTTATTTTAGAAGATGGTTAAATAATTACAATCGATTAGGTTAAAGAACCTAACATAATTCCATAGAAAGCAATTATATTGGATATTGCAAATCATGAATAAATGTAGAAATTGATATGTAATGTAGAATTCAAAAAGACTCTAGAATAGTTTAATTCATAATAGATCAATTTAGTTGCTATTTTTCATTTATCTCATTAAATTTAGGAAGAATATTATAAAGACTTTATTAAACAATACTCAAACTTCAATCATATTTTCTGTAACTATTATAAGGAAGGTAATGATAATATTTGTTAAGCGCATATGAAAATCTAACCTTTATCAGAACTTTTATCAAATTTTTTACATTAATCGTTTCCTTTTAATTTTCCCCATATTGAATAGTAAATATTAAAACCAATACCAAAAGATTTTCAAAATTTAAATTCGATGTTTGGTTACGTTCCTCTTTTTGAATATGTTATTCTCCCAATAAAATAATCAGGCTATAGACCAGTGTAAAATTTTTCACCAAAAGTCCTCTCTCAAATGTTTACAAATAATTAATTCAAAAACTTTGAATAATAATTTTTATAAAAAGCCAAAGATCATCTAAGATTAATATTTTTAGGTACATGTTCGATGAAGCCAGGATAGTTAAGAAATGTCTCTGGAATAATTTTGGTGAATGAGAAATTAAAATCGAATATTATTTTAGATTGTGGAGAAGGAACATTTAAATAGATCAGCGATGAAAATATAGTGCTTGATGATAAACCACTGATTATTTGGATAAGTCATGCTCATAGTGATCATCATTTAGGTTTATTACAAATTATATATAATTTGAGTAATAGCCATTAGGATATATATTTAATTGTGCCTGCAATAGTAGTACCTTGGTTGATATTTTTCAAGGAAATTTTAGGAGAATAATCTAAATGGAAAATTATTGTATCATAATAATTTGATGAAGACTTTAAAGATGATGTGAATTAACTAATTAAAGATTGTTTCCACTAATGTAGAATTAGATAAGGCGAATAAGTATAAATAGTTGAAAATTAAAATTTCATCAAAAACTATGAAGATCTTGTCAATTGCTTAAAAGATTAATTTGAATTAGATTCGATTAGAGTTACACCTGTAGAGCATTGTCCATAATCTTATGGAGTAAGATTAAATCTATGTGATGGGAGATCTTTGTCTTATTCTGGAGATACAAGGCCATGTGAAAGATTTGTAAAATTATCATAAAATGTTGACATTCTAATTCATGAATCTACATTTACGGATGATTTGCAAGAGAATGCACTTTAAAATATGCACTCTACGATTTCTGAAGCTGTTAAAGTTGGTATGCTAGCTGATGCAAAAGTTATTGCCTTAACTCATTATTCTCAGAGATATTCAAGATAGATGGAAATTAATTAAGAAATTTTAGGCAATGAAAAAATTGTATTTTCATGCGATCATTTTGGAGGGTATTTAAATGAGTATTCAACATTAAGCCAAATAAGTAAAGAGATTATTTAGTTATTTAATGAATGAAATAAATATAAATAATGATCAACGTTAATCTTTTTATTTTGATTCTTAGTTTATACACTAGAGACGAATCTCTCTAAATTATGACAGTAGCTTTGAAATGTCCAAAAATTCTTCTGTTTCCATATTCTTATCCTATTGCAGGGACTAAATTTAAGTATTTGAAACATTTTTCAGTCTTTGCCTAAGGGTGTTAAAGGCAGATCCTTATGGTAAAAGCATCATTAAGCCGAACAAACACTTCATTAAAAAAGGATGAGAATCATATTCTAATAATTGTAACCTTAAAACTTAAATATAAATTTATATTACAAATAAACACTGGTGTTTCTAAAACATTAATTAATTGGGCTATTTCTGATAATATACATTCATTAACTTCAACTTCTGAAAAACTAATTATTATTTTGTAAGCTAACTCGTATTCCTCAGATAGTAAACTTAGAGTAATCACACTCATTGAATTGTAACAAAACGTCCTGTAAAGTGTCTCAAAGATTTCTTAATTATGCTATCTTTGTTTTTCATCTTTTTCATGTTTTAAATTCCTAAGTATGTTTCTTAGATTTTATAGCTCTTTTTCTGATATTAACAGGTTGGTTAATATTTGAACAGTATTGCTTATGAAAATTACATCATTATTTGAATATATTTCTAATAATTTAGCTGTTATTGTAAAATAAACCTTCTATGGATTTAGAAGTGAACATAACTTTTTGAATATTAAGTCTCCTTTTTTTTCAGATTATTCTTAAATTTTATGGAGCATAATTAATATTTTGTCAATTACAATTTCAAAATATTGGCTGTGCATTGATATATTTGCTAGCACATCCATAATGTTTTAGACTATAGCAGATTCCGAATCAGCCAATTTATCAATAAGCTAGCTAATCTTATTATAAATACTTTTGTTAATATATCTTCTATTGTTGGAAAAAGGGACTCAGAATAAATTTCTAATAAGTGTTTCATCCATATTAATGCTGATTCAGCTGTATTGCTTTTTTTATCAGTTAACATTTCTTTAATTGTTGGTACAATATTTATAAACTCTATTGATTAATTTTTTACCCTCTCCATAACCTTAAGTAATAATTCATTCGTCTTCTAAGCCGCTTTCCTTATTTCTTCCTCTTCATGAGAAAGTAAAATTAGGATTGGGCCCAAAATTTAACTTAAGCTGTTCAATATAGTCTTTCTTATAGGCGATTCGAATCCTCCCAAATATTATTGCATTTAATTTTTTTATATAGGAGATGTATTGCTTCTTAAATATTCTTCTGATCTTACATGAGATGGGGAATGCTATAGCCCAAGTTTACCTTTTTATTCCTCTTCTAATTCTTGTTAGAACACTCTTAAATATTCAAAAATCCATAATAAGGAATTTAATTTGGCATAATTATTCTGGTTTCCTTTCATTTAACAAATTTTAAGTAAAATCTCTATGATTTATTCATTAACTCTTTAATCCAGATTGACTTTAATCTCTACTTATTTCAAAAACTCATTAGCTTATAAGTCTGCTCCATTACGAACTTCCCTAATAATACTCATTCAATTTACTTGTTTGATTCTCCTAACATCATGAATATGCCTTCCAAAATCATAGGAAAATAAATATATAAATCATTGTTGTGACATTGATTTAAGAATTTTATCCATCCAAGTAGAAATTATCGAACATATGTTACTCTAGTCTTCAATTTGCTTTATAACTAAATCATAAAAGAGTTTAAGTTAAAATAGCACAGTTTTCCTGGATCTAAAAATTTCTCTTGAACTGCTATTTATACTTGATTCTTTAATTATTGATCTAATAAGAACATGGCTTAAACTATTTAATTATCATATTCTGCTGATCTTCCCAATTGATAATCAAATATTTCATTAAAATTAAGAAGGATCATAGTTTTCATAATCTTTGTCAATTACAGCAAACATTCAACAGCATATTATCTAGCCTTATCTTCTTTATCATTTAAGCATTCTAAAATTGGTTAGGTTAAGTCTTTTACACATCTCTCTGCTAATTGTGGATACTATATATAAAATTTCTATTACTTCTTTCACTAGAATTTCTGCTACAGTCTGAAGTGCAAACATTCCTTATCTCTTTAGGTATAATTATGAAGAAGACGTAAATTTAATTTTGAATGTCTCTATAATTTATTTGATTAGCAACTCTTTTCCGCTTTAAGCATAAGATTGAACTAATTATTTTAATTATTAGCATCCTAATTGTTTCTTATCCTAGCTTTTATCAATTAATAGTTTTATAATTTGTTAAGGTACGACATTGTCATCCATTTGAATATTTTTTTGGTCTATATATTTAATAATGAAATTTCATTTATTATAATTGGCAAATTGAATAATAATGAATGAATTTACAATATAAATATATGCACTTTATTAATTGATGGGCTCTTTATTTCTTGTTTGATTCCAATATCAATACTAAGATTACTCCTTTTAAAGTTAATAGAATCGACACTAATGGGTTATAAAAAAAAAGATAATATTTAAATAGAAAATAACTAAATTTGAAGCAGAAGTTTAAATTTTATATATAATAAAATATAAATATATTAATAAACTAGGTTATCAATAGAATTGATAAATGAATAAATTATCATATGAATGGATTGCTTTCTTTTACTTTGTCAAATAATTCATGATATTTTTCTAATCCTTTCACATCATCCTTTGTTGGTACCTAAACCAATACTACACTAGTAGGCTTTTTAGTTTATGCAGCAGCTCCTTTATAGATAAATAATTTAATATTACCTAATTCTAATCTGCTTCTCACATAAATGTAAGGAATTCCTAATTCCTCGCATTAAATTGGCAAATGTGATAACACATCAACAGGACTAATATCAGCAGCAAATACAACAATTCCAGGAGTCTTCTTTCTTAATGCCTTTCCAACTTCTTTTACTCCTCTTTTAATATGCTTAATAGTTATTTCTAAAAGATCAATCAAGGAATACATCTAGCAATAAATCTAAGAAGCCCTTTCTATAATTTACTATTTGCAATGGGATTTGCTATTGGAGAGACATAAAATGTTTATTCTGCTTCTGTCATAAATTAAAATTATAAATTACCATAAATTAAAATAAAAGGACCTATTAAGAAGAATTTGAATTTCTTTATTTAGAAAACTACCTAAAATACAACTCCAAGAGTGGTCCAACTTTTTTTCTTAACTTCGCAGCTAATTATATTTTCATAGAAAACTCATTAATCAGGAGCTTCTAATGAAATAATCTCAAAAATAGTTTCAATAAAATGAAATACTCTCTCATTAACTTTACGAACAAATTATTTAATCATTATAATTAAAAGTCTTTTATGTTGCCATTGTTTTGAATTCGAATAGATAAGTAGAGCTTTTTCTTGATAACCAGCTTCAAGTTGTTGATTAGCTATTCAAATTCTAAAAGGTGAAGTTAACGAGATATTTAAAAGTTTTGTGTTGATGATTATTTCTTTAGAGAAATGGCTCGCATTTTCAAGTAAAAAACAAAATAAAAAAGTGTTAAGAAAAAATTGAGTTGTTAAGTTAGCATATTTAAAGGATGTAATATTATTATGCAGAATATTCTTCTAACCAAATATCGAAAACAAATTAATTTTCATGTTAAATCAATGAGGTATAATTTATTAATGGTTATTTCTTTTTTAAAGCTATCAACTAAAAAGATATTATTTAAAACATGTTTTGTAGTTTCTGTTTTTAATCCAGATATTTTCTCTCATAATTTGAGAAGATTTAAGATTTCCTGCAACTTAGAAGAGATACTTTTTGAAATGTACCTTTAATAGATGAACTTACTTCTTTAATGGCCATTTAAATATTTAAAGCTTTTTACTTTAAATGTTTATTCATAACTCTTCCTGTTTATATCTAGTAATAACTGCTTATTCTTCTTTTGATCTTGTGTTCCATATGGAAAGTTAATTAATAACTTCAAAATGCATAATTTATTAGAATTGATATTGATAGGTTTATAAAATTCAACTAATGCTGCCCTTGAAATATAACTAGAAATAATTTAATCAATTACATATTGGTTTAGTAATTCCTTTTATACTATTTCCAATTACAATAAAGAATAATACGAGCATAATGATTCAGTTCCCTAATTAGTAAAAATTTCAATTAAATCCTCATCTTTAACATTTCGAATTCAAATGCAGTGAAGTGCCTGAAATTTAGTATTATTAGATTAAAACGCAAGTAAATTCAAAACATGCCTTAATAAATTGCTAGTTATTGTGAAAATAAAGTGAACTAGATACTTTACAACTAAAATAATACTTAATATCACAATCAATCAAATTTTTCAAGTTTTCTTTAATTCACAGTCAATGTCTAATCTAAATTACATTTCCAATATCTAATTTATAATTTCAATATTCATACAACTCTCTAGTATTTGAAATATTTGATTAATGGTATTTTTTAAAGAGAATGTGTTTATGATTTGAAAACTTCTTTTTATTTTTTCTTCAAGTGCTGATGATACTTCAGGACAATAATTTATAAGCTCCAGAAATACTTTTGAGTTTATGAAGAACTAATAGCCTTGATGCTGTATTATTTTAGCTTAGATTGTATCCCAGATGATATTCTGAAGTATTTAACTTAAATTTTTAAATGAAGTGATCAAGACTCCCAATAAGATGATACAAATCAATCCATTTGAATTGACAACTTTATATTTGTTTTGATTAATCTGTAGGTTTACTTAAGAAAATCAATTTTTTTAAACATATAATTAAAAAATGTCGATTATGAATCACAAGAAGTCTTAATTAGAAAAAGGTACATCTTAAGAAATGGAATACAAGTTTAAAATATCACTATTTAACATCATGCATAATATAATACAGAATAATTTATGTAACACTCTCATCTATTGTGTGTTGTTAAGCATTGAAAATCTGCAGTTGATGTACTATCCGATTCATCCAGTGATCGATTTTTTATGGGATAATAAAGGACTAAATTATTTCAGAATCATCCTCCGTTACTTTTAATACAATTACCTAATTGATTAAGGTGTAACCATCTTCATAATTTTGTTGTACATTTCTTTTGGAGTTATGGTCATTATTGGTGTAATATTCTTTACTAGTTAATATTAATTAAGCTAACTAAAATATTAAGAACAACAATCAGGCATGCTTATTTTTACATTCAAATTATTATCCTTGTTACTAATTATTTTGAATACTGTATTAGCACTTCCATTTTATAACATCTTTTTGGCTACAATTTATTGCAGATCAGATTCAGCAGCTGGGGCTGACTTAGGATGTTATGAAGGCATTCACATTCTACATATGATTGTAGCTATTATTGGAATAGTTTTACTAATCTTTTTTCATTTTTCCACAACATTATTGTACTTTGATCTGAAGTAAAGATTATTATTGATAAAAGTCCAAAATCAAAATTCCCTTTCAATGGCTATTAATCAGATGCAGAATATGCTCGAATGCTATTCAAATTTGTTACTCCTTTTCTAATAATTTTTAATGCTCCAGGTACTTACAATAGTGAAATGGTTGTGTTATTTGGAGTTGGAGATCTTATCCTTCTATTTTCTAGATACAATTATCCTACAGGATACAATAATTTTATGTATTTATGCATGATTACATAAATAGACATTTTTACAAAATTACTCTTGAATTAATAGTGTTATGGATTAACATTTGTGTAATTATCACTGACTTTTTAGATACTGGGGCACCTGATGATATGGGTTTATTATATTTATTTGTTTTAATTCCATGTGTAGTATTTGGAGGATTATATGCTTTCAAAAATATACTAAAAGAATCAATGACCTTTTCAATTAAAAACCTAAAAAACGAAGAAGAGGCAGATAACTACTTAAATACTCTAATTTAATTAATTTTGGATCGATAATCTCCTAACACGAAAATAAAACTTATGGGAGTATTAAAATTGCATTATGTGAATTGTACAAAAACAGGATGTGCTTGTAAACAACTTATTTCATATGATCATAAGAAGGAAGAGAGTATAAAGGAACATGAGACTTGGATGAAGCTTTTGGCATCTATTTTGGATGACATCATAACAGATGAAAAGTTTAAGGAGAATGCTCGATTCAAAATATTTTATTCTTATTTATGCAATGATGAATTAAAAAATAAATATAATGCTCTACATTATATGATGAAAGCCGAAGATACAAAAAATCATACTCTAAGAGATGAATTTTGTTTATTCCGTTTCAAATAACATATTGAGAGTGAAATGCAAGAGGACTCTGAAAAGGCCTAAGATATTGATGTGAATTCTATTGTATTCTTTTAGAATCAATTAGTGGTTTTAACTAATATGATTTAGAAAAGTGCAGAATCCCATTTAGAATTTTGGAGAGAACTTTAAGAGGATCATCCTAATATCCTAAAGTTATAAAATATTGGATTGAAAGTGTTGCATTAGATTGATCTTTGTGATGAAGGATATCAAGAACTTGTAGAGATTAATAATAATAACTTAAATTTATTAGAATTTTATAATGCTTATTTATCAATGGTAGTGCATGATAAAGAATAACATGATTAGCTATCTTAATAGATCAGTCAAATTAAGAAAACAATCTATCAAAGAAAATAAGGAGGAGGACAAGAATCTAAAATAACTGAATCACAAGAAACAATCATAATAACTATGAGTGGAAATGTTGGTAGTATAGGAATTGTGGCTAGTTGCAATAATGAAATATAGAAATCTTTGGGATATCCAGCTTCAGAATTATTTGAATAGAATGTGAGTAAAATCATGCCAAAAATAATTGGTGATTAACATAATTAATTAGTTGAAAATTATATGAGAACAAGCAATTCAAATATTATAGGATTAGAGAGATTTGTACTTGCTTAAAATAGTTAATAATATTTAGTTCCTTGTAAGTTGATGATCAAAGTGTTGCCAAACTTAGAAAAAGGCATCCTCTTGGTTGGCTTTCTAAAACCATTAGAAAAATTACCTGGAACTCATTATATGATATATGATGGAATTTCATAATAAATTTTAAACGTTAGTGAATCAATGAAAGATTTAGGAATAAGAGTTGAGGATATTGCAACAACAAGTGCTTAAGAATAACCAATATATACATTTGGAAATCTATTTAAAGAATTAGGAGATGTGTTAAATAATACTCTTAATTAAAATGATTAACCATTAAAAAATTAAGTTTATAAACTAGAAGGAGATTTATATACTGCTGAAACTATAATTGATGTTTAACTATTCAAATAACTACTTTAATCAAATATTCATGATTCAGATAATAAAAAAATGGGAGGATCAGTCAAAGATTCAGCAGTTATGAATTATAGCGGAGATTTCAAAAAAGTTAAAGTCAAATTAGAGTTGATTGAGGAGAGATTCCCTTTAACTGATGATGGTCAGCCAGCAGGAGGAAGTATATATCACACAATAGTGATTCGGGAGGATATTGATTAAGAAAAAGTAAACTATGGAAAATCATTAATAAAACAGAGATTAGATGAGAGCAAGCATCAAATCAATCAATAATAATCTATTGATGAGGAAGAAGATAAATAAAAGAATTTTTAATCTTCAGTTGATGATCAAGAAGAAAATAAATAGACAAAAGATATTAGAAGTGCTTTAGAATAATCCAAAACTCCTAGACAAATTATATATCTAAGATATTTAACTTTAATCCTATTCTTATCTACTTTGGCCTTATCTATTAGTAAATTGGTTTTGGCATTACAATAATCAATTTTAGTGGATGAGGGTGTAAGTGCAGTTCGTTAAGCTCATCGAAGACATTCTTTAATGGCAGATATTAATTTATACAGTCGTTATTTACATTTAACATCTTTTGGAAATTATGCTTCATCTTTAGAAGGAGCATTCAAGGCAAACATAAGTGTTTTAGTTGATAAATTATAAGTGATATAATTTGATATGATTGAGTTTAGAATTAAGGTAGAAAGTAGAAGTGGTTTACAAATAGATGATGATTAATATGATGTAGTTTTTTTACTTTCTAATAATGAAACCAAAACATATGGAAATATTTTCAATGATGCAGTTTTTGCATATATTACATCGGCGTCTTCTTTCAAAAAAGCAACTCTTTCATAATTTAATGATACATCAAATTCTAGTAGTGTTTCTAAAAATTTATTTTATGTTGTTGAAAATGGTTTGGATGTTCTCAGAAATGGATCTGAAAGAATAGCTGATAAATTTTATAACTTTTATTATGATCAAGTAGATGCATAAACCAGTAATGCTATTATAATTCTAATTGCTGCTTTGGTAATTATTGTTATTTGTGAAATTGTATATGTACCAATTTTTATGAGTATTTTCAAGGAAAGAAAAAGGTTAATTAGTTATTTTGGTATGATAACTAATGATGACATCAAGAATTTAATAGATCAAGGTGATAAATTTATTTTAGATCACATTACCAAATTTAAAAGTTCTGATGATATCAATTAAATTGAATAACCTCAATAATAACATATAATTGAAAGCTCTTTAAATCAAGATTAAAGTCAAGATATTGCTGACAGTCCAAAATAAAAAGTTGAAATAGATCAAAGAAAATCCCTTTTTGATTAAACCAAAGAAAAACATTAAAGAATCTACGAAAGTAAAGGAGGAACTCATTACTTTTTAATATTTTCATTTATATTTATTGGCTCTCTTTTAATGATTGAATATATAGTTATGTATGTTTTAGAAGATCAATCAATTAGTGATGCTAAGTTAATATTGGATCATTATTTATATATATCTCGCCGAGCAAGCATAATTAAATATAATATACTTTTTACATTAGAAGCTTTGGTTAATGATGGTTAGCCTAGGGTCTACATGGAAAATGACTTATCGAAATATTATAATCAAAAAGTATATTCTAATGAACAGGATTTATTCAAGACTTTAACATATACATATCCCAGTTCATTCGATGATTACTTTGCTTTCTTTAACGATATCAATTTCTTAAATGTTTGTGAGCATATCACCTGGATCAACACACTTGATCTAATTACTTAGTCTTTTATTTTTGTTGATTCTACAGATAATTTTACTAATTATACATTCTCCTCATCTGAATTAAACTAAGAATGTAATTAAGTTAAAGGAGGACTCTTAACTAAAGGTTTAAGAGATGCAATATTCCTAGTTTCTTTGGGAAACAATGAATTATTGGCTACTTATTCAAATTTGCAAGAAAGCTTGAATGCATTCTAGATATAAGAATTATTACGTAAGTACATTTTGCCAACATTTTGGGAAAATAATAACATATTTTAAACTTGCTTTTATAAGTAAACATTATTAAATAATATAAATTAGCTTCTTAGATATACGTGATTAAGTATAGATCTATAATTTTGTTGGATTTGTAGGTTTTTTAATTTTAGTTTTCTTCTTTTTATGGATCTCTTATATAGCTAAAGTACAAGCTGGAATACAATAATCAATGAGGATGCTCACTCTTATACCTGATGATCTTATTGATAAATACACAAAACTTAAAGAGGCAATTGAATATCATGTCTTAGGAATTAAACAGTAATAATAATGAAATAATCAATTATATAATAATTATATAACCATGTACAATCCAGTTGAGTATTATTATTCCAACGATTATTATAAATCTCAAATAACAAAATCAGAAATTACTAGGGTTAATACTTCCTATTCACCTCGAAAATTAATTACAGGATATTGGAAAAAGGATTATAAATCATTTATTAAATAAAGGACTATGAATTTGGAATCAAAAGAAATCCAACCTCATTCAGCTAAGCTAAAAGGTATTAAATAATCATTTACACGATTGGCAGAATCAATTTTAAATGTTAGTAATTGTTTTGAAAATATCCCAAATAGATAGACAAAAACAGATAGATTTGTCTAAAAATAAAAAAATAAAATATACACTCCATCACCCTAGCATTTTTAAATGCAAAATCATGAAACTCATAAAATTTCAGGGAAACTGTATAAAGGAACACTACTTAAAAATTTTGACAACTCAATAAATCAAATTGGAGAGTCTTATATTTTAGATTCAAAAAAAGAATTTGGATACTCTTAAATGAGTCCAAAAAGCACAAAGAAAGATCACAGTTCAGAATAATTAAGATAAAAGCATAAATAAATTTCAAACACTGATTAAGTTATAACACCTTATAAAGAACTTAAATAATAATTGATGATAAGAAGATCTACTTTGAATAATACAAACTCAACAACCTCTTTTAAAAAAACTACATATAATATTGTAGATGAAAAATTAGAAGGTATGAAGCTTGAATGCTTATTAATAAAGCAATGCCAAAACAATATTAGCAATTTAGTTATGATTTAATTCGAAAATGTGTTAGGCTATGATGAATCTAGCTTTTTTGGATTATAGTCTGACTTTATAGGCAGTAAATAGCATGAAGAATATGTAGTGCTAAGAGATCATTATTTTTAAAGGGCCACTCCTAATTCTTCGTTTTATATACATAAAAATATTAAAGAACTTTTCAATTCTATCTGTAGAGTTTATTAAGTAGGACTATATACTATCAATTATTCTTAACTTCTAAAAGATGTTATTAATGAAAAAAAACTCAAAGTAAATGGAGCTTTTTCTATTCTTGATTACAAAATTGATACATTTGTGGTTGATATAACAAATGTCTTAACAAATTTAAAAATTAAGAGTCCTCAGCTATTAATTTTTATTTAACCCTTCAAATTACTCAATAGATAAGAATCCTTTATACCAAATCATACAAAAATTCCTTATTATGATTACTATGGATAAAGATTCTTTATACCATTCACTAAATCAATCCATCCAAATTAGTATAGACTATTAGCATTACCAAGTTTATCTATGTAAAGTTTATTCAAAAATGAAGAATAAAGTAATGGATTTGTGTAAATCAATTATTTTATTGAATAATTTACTCTTGCTTTGTAAAGTGATGGCAATTTTGCATAGTTTCTTAGTAAAAGTCAAAATAGAATTAAATGCATAAATTAATCTTCTTATTTTCGATAAATAAAATAAAGATTGTTATAATAAGTTTATTTTATTGATACATTAAAACTAAATCAAGATAATGATCTCAAATTTAATAAAAAAGAATATAATGATCGATTTTCATCTAAGAATGATTATACTAAACAAATGGAAATTTTATAAAATGATATCATTAATAGAAACAAAGAAATACTTGAAAAATTTCGAACTTAAAATTATGATCATTCTAATAATCTATCATAATTAAATTAAGAATTATAGTAATAGTTAATTAGATTAAATTATTGTGAGATGTTTGTAGATTCTTGCTACTACTTGCCATATTGATCTTTAAATATGTATATATTTTTTATTTATTCTATATTCTTTCTTATCATTTTCTAAATAAACCATTTCTAATATCTGGCAAAAACTCTTGCAATGAGAGTTCCAATCTATCATCAAGAGTGTTTGAGCATACTATTCGATTATTTGCACAACTAAGTACAATTCCACCCAATCTAAAATCAATTTATTTTGTACATGGGTTTCCCACTTTTCTCAGTTAAATATTGACTTTGATTGATGCTAAGTGTTGTTTTGAAGTCTTTAGTAGTCTCTCTTTTAATAATCTATGAAAATTCCTCTTGACACTCTCCCAAAATTGATTTTACTAATTAAACATCTTATTCTAAGCATGTCAATTCAATACGAGGTTCCAATAATTTAATCATTCCTTACACAATCAAATTTTTCAATAATTCTTTATATACACTTTAATCTTAAATTAATTTGGTCATTTTCTAACGAACTTCTTCTTTAAGTCTCTAAATTAACTCAAAACGAGCTTGCATCTTTGATAATCTTGATTAGTTGATCTTTGATGATCGTTAACTAAAAATGGTGATTCAATATTTTTACATTCTTTTTTCAATAGTATATGATTCAATTTTCTTTTTATATTCCTCTATAATCCTTTCTTTTTATTGATTAAGAAGCTTATTTTTTTCAATTCTGAATTATTAAGCAGCCATATCTTTAATTTATTCAGCTTTCTCTGTAGCCTAAAATAATTATTCAATATTCACCTCTGCTTTAATAGCATTTACCATTTTCTTTACTCTTTCTTAAGGATTAAAATCGGCCATATTAATTAATTTATTGAAATAAAAATCAATTCATTTATATAATTTTCATAATTTATAATTAATATCTTTGAATTAATTTTCAATTTTTTTGCGCCAGACAATTAAATCAGTATAAATCAAATTCAACACAAAAACTCTAATACCAATACATTTTATACTGATTCCAAGTTACCTCTTTGCTACATTTTTTAATAGTAAGAATTTTATAATTTATTGTTAATTATAATTTTTTCAGATATAAATGGAAATAGCTTTATAAAATTATGATAGAACAGTATAAAATACATAATTTATTTGAATAATTAATCATCAAAGATGTTTAGTTCCAAATTAGTTTCTTCAGTAGTAAATTTGATGATTTTTCATTTAATCTTTACTTTTTAAGACTCATCTCAATATGAGTAGTTTATAAATATATTTATATACTTCTATTACTCTTTTCATCTATTAGTCTATAAAATTAAAGTGATAGTTTCATTTAAAAACGGATTAGACAATTAATGAATTATTTGAGATTTCATTTAGACGATAAAGAAATCCATCTTCAAATAATCGATCATTTTCGGATATGATTTTAAATGGAGAAATAAATGATTGCAATTGAAATTTTAGAGATAATCATTTGCATTTTTTTAAGTAGTGTGATATGATGATTTGGAAAAAAACAAATAAATATTTCATTGTTTTGTTATTGTAATGAATTCAGTGTGAATAATTTCCTAGAGGAAATTCATCAAGAGGTTATTGGAAATAAAATTCACTATCTTCAAAAGTTTCTGATTCACTTTTGATTAGATTTACAAATAGAGTTGAATGAGATTCAGAAATATTTTCTTTCCATTAAATAATATATTTATTTTTGGAATAGACTATTGATAATACTGCTAAATATTACATTCCACTCGTTTTTGGATTAAAGAGAGGATCGATTATTCTTAATCAGTTGCCTTGTTCTACATCAAACTTAGGGATTCATAATGCTTTTAAATCCTTAATGGTATGCTTCTATGCTTCTTAATCTTTTTCTATAGTTTGAATTAAAAGAAGCCTTCAGATTCATCATCTTCAATCATTTTTTTATTAATTTAATGTTTAATATCTATAAGGATATCTTAGAGAATTTAAGTGTATATAATTTTAAAGATATTAGTAAATAATCATTGCATATACATGTTTTCAAAAAACACTAGTGTTTAAAATTCATATTTACAAATGATTTGTTATATTAGATCATTTTAATTGCGATGACAACATTGAAAAGTATAAAATAATAATAATGGTAGAATATATATATATATTCGATTTGTTGTGTAAATACTAAGATATTTCATTGGATTGCTGTCATTTGAAGAAATATAATTTATCCTAAATATAGAAATGAAAGATTACAAATTTAGCAAACAATTCTTTGCTTTAACTTGAATGTGTTGTAGAATTGTAAATAAGATGTAAATAATATCCAATTTCTTCCTTAACTCTTTCTTACCATAAAGGATACTCCTTTAATTGATCTAAAAGATTAATATATTTATTGATAGCCTCTTCCAAATGATATTCATAAGTCAAAGTTGTGTACTCACTTCTAAACCAAGTATTATGAGTTGCAATTTCTTTTGTTAATTCTAAGTAGATAGATCTATACTCCCAAGTCAATCTGTGTAAATTCAAAATAAATTAGTATAGATTCTCAAATTGAATAAATTTCTGTTTTGCTAATTCATATTAACTCACTTCACTAAAGTATAAATATAAAAAAAATTACAAAGATTCCAATCTTGGAGTCCAATTTCTGGCAATATGAGAATAAAATCTACATTCGTAGTATGTCATAGGATCTCTTTCTAAGAATCCTTCTTCAGGGTCTTAAAATCCAGCTTTACACATTTCTGTCATAATTCTGTCTACCTATACTATTAATGAGTAGATATCAATTAATACATACATGAATAATTAATCACTCTACTCTTAATGAAATAAGAAGAAAATCTAGTCACTATAGACATCCTTGTTTTATTAATAAATTAATATAAATATCCAAACTATATTCATATGTTTATATTTGAGACTCTTTTGTTATTATAATAAATTTCACTAATTCTAAAATAATGATTTAATCTTCTTCTTCTCTAAATCTTAAATCTTAAATCAAATAATCAAAAATAAAAAGATAAATTTAGAACCTTCATTTAACCATGTCTCATAATAGCTGAAGTAATCTTCAATCTGAATTAAATTCTTTGCCATTAAACATATAAATGAAAAAATTAAATATTAAATATTGAGCAAATAAATAGTTTTATTATCATTCTTAATAATATAAACAAATTTCCTTTATGAATTGATGAATCATATTATTTTTAAAATTAAGAAAATCGATTGAAATAGGTCTAATTTTATTATTATATTATTATATGGTCTTAAATCTTAAGATTAATGATTTTTATCTTATTCAATCATAATAATATTAAATTAATATCATAAAATAATTATTTCGATTACTATTTGTTGTCAATTAACCAGTAATAAAAGAAATAAAAAATCTTCACAATAATGATATTATTCAATTACTAATCTATTATTTTACTCTTTATTATATATCTTTTTTTATATTTAAATTGAATATAATTAATATTAATTAAAATATAGAGAAAACATAGTTATTAAATGGTTTATTAGAAATAATCAATCATTATAAAACAAATAAATTAAAAAATGAAATGTAAGTCATTAAATTTATGTTTGCAAACTTAAAAAGTTATGAATAATAATATTTTAATTAAATTTACTGTTAATGAATTAAGAGGATAATTAGAGTCAGGATAGTATTAATGAAAAACAAATAGAAAATAATCTCAAAGACTTACTTGAGAGAATATTGCTTAATGCTGATAAATTCATTGATACTAAAGAAGAACTTAATTAAATAGAGGGATAACTTAAAGATTATGAAAATTTATCCCATTTGATTGGGATTATAAAAGCAGTATTTACTAATATGATGATGAAAGTAGAAAAAAAAATGTCGTAAGTAGTTAAATTTAACACTAATAAAGCAAATTAGAAAAATAAATAGATCCTAATTATTCATAAACATATAGTATGAGGACAGATGAAGAATATGATAAATTAGAATAAACAATGATAAAATATGAAGTAGAAATACGTAATCACATAAGAGTAAAAAATAATTTTCATTAAAGGTTGAACAACAATTAAAATTATATGCTGAGTCAATTTAAACTAAATTAGATGAAAGTGAAATGAATAGAACTGAATTATTAAATACAACAAAATAATTAATTAGTGTAAAAAAATATTCAAATTAATTAGAATTTAAAAAGAGAAAATTAAACATATCATGAAGTCTAACAGAAACTTAAAAATGAAATTATTCATTTAAAATAAATAATAAGTGGTTTAGAAAAAGAAAATAGAAGAAAATCTTTAGATTTAAGTCAAAGAGATCAATTAAAACTATAATGTAAAGCTAATTAATAATCAATCAGTTAATCATATCAACTATAAAGTAGATGATAATAATAAAATTAGAATAAAACCATGAAAAATCTTTCTAAGAATATAAAGGAAATATAAAATAAAGTTAGAAATGCATCACAACAACAGATAATAATGAGATACCAATTAATTCTTAATAATCCTTGAAATAAAATTATTATAATATTATCCATCAAGGAAATATAGCAAATAAAGCTGAAATATAAAAAGTTACTTAATAAAAGGAAATTTATAGAGGTTATGGATAAAGATTAAAAAGCAAAAATAATTCACTATCAAACATACAAGATGTAATATAAAGTGTTTCAGTACAAGATAGAAAAAAAGTTTTAAATAGCTAAACTATTTCAAAAAATAGCTCATAAGATAATAGTTAAGTAATTAAATTTAAAGGTATTATTTTAATATAGATTTTATTAAGAATCTGGAGATTTGAGTAGAAGTAAAAGCTCAAGAAGAGCTAATTTAGGATAAAAATTGATTATTGTAGAATCTTAAATCAAATTAACATGTTGAAATATATTATTTATGTTTTTATTAAAAATTTAATAAAATAAATCATAAATCATTTCTTTATTTTATTAATTGATTGACGCCAAAATTGAGCACTTTCTTATATTTCAGTAATTAACTTCCATTTAGAAAGAGTTGTTCTAACAGGATTTACAACTGAAGTTCTTTTATTTTCTTATGAATTTGATTATTTAGTTCGTTTTTTCTTATTTTTTCTAATTGCCATTCTTTAATTAATTGTATTATTTTAGTCTTAAAGTTACTTTTTTATGACATTATCATATTCTTTTGAAATTTAATCATATTCTTATAAAAGAGAATTTAGATCACCTTTTTAATCTTACTTTCTTTCCTAAACTTCCATACAAATTTCTCTTTCTTTAGCTTAATGTTTTTTAAACACACTAAATCTCATTTTAGAATTGGAATCAGAATTTTACTGTAAAAATGGTCTATTAAATCTTTATTCTTCATCAAGTTTAAGTTAATCTAGAGCTTAACTATTTATTAATGTTGTATATCTATTTTAAAGTGCTGTTGATCTTTCATCATTTTCCATCATTATTTCAATTGTTTCTGGTCTACTCAATATAAATTCCATTTTTTCTAAGAAGTAATCTTTTAAGGATTGTAAATTAGGTTCTAATAATTCTACTAAATAACTATATATTTCTAAGAGTTTTGTAACATGATCAATATTGTATAGTCTTTCATGAAATACTGCTTCTAATTATAAAAGAGTGGTTAATTATTCACTATCAATTGATGGTTTTTATTTCTTTTATTTTTCTGCTGATTTATATTTAGGTGAACTCAATGCATTTTAGACTGCAGAAACGAATAACATAAAAAATAATATATTTATAATATGAATGTATAAAGTAAGAATTTCAATTAATAATTGTAGCAAAAACATCATTTGAATCAATAAAATTAATTATAAATAACATTGCATAATAATAGAAAAAGTTATTTATTCTGATTACAAATCATTTTCAATAGTAGGTTACTGTGTTTTGATATTATTTACTTGTTTTTGATTCAGTTATCTTTTTTCCAGATGTTGTTATTAGATTTTAATGATGACTTAATACACTTTTAGGTATCTTATTTTTAAGTTGACCATTTGCAAGAATATCATGAGATGGAGGTGATTAAGGTCCTTTTAATTAAAATCCATTTTATGTCATTTCATGCATAAATAAATTAGCATCTGTTAATTTTGGAGATTTTGGTGATGTTGGCTCATTATTTATTTAATATTTATTAAGTTCCTAAATAAATACAACATTCATTTTATCTTCTAACATTGTAACTTTTGGAGATATTTATTTATATAAATAACCTGATCTAATTACATTTGATCCATCTCCTTCTTTTGATGAAAATCGTTTTTATTTTTACTATTATTAATCATCTAACAAATAACATAAAATGTTAACTTTTAGGTAGCAGTAATTTTCCAGCACTTGAAACCTTCTTAAGTTAAGAGTTATTTATCTCTGTTTATTTTTAAATGATTTACAGATTTCCCTTTAAATTATTGCTCTCCTTAGTCATAATAGATGTCTTTCTACTTCCTGAGTTGATACTAGTAGCTTGTACATGTTCACTCAAACCTCTTTTTTCAATTACTAATTAATTCTTCGGTGATGAACTTTTCATATATATAATTTATTCTTTATATTCTTAAGGTAATTAACATATAATTTATAACTTGATGAGAAATAAATAAAAAATTTCAATATATCTTAAGAATTGATTTCTGTTGATTATAGAACTAATCTCCATATCCTTTTTTATTTTATTTAATCTAAATTGTAATTTATAAATATTTATTACATATTGTTCATTTTAACTTTATTAAAATACCTTATTATAAGGTTTTAAGATTTATTATTCTACTATATTAGATTATTCATAAATTGATCGACTTTAAGGATATTATTTCTTCCTATTACTTTTTATTTAATTAGCTTTTTAATAACTTGTTAATAAATGTCGAAAACGATATTCATAATAATTATTATTTTTTGATCTATCAATATAAATTTAAAAACCTAAAATTCTAATAATTATTACAATCATTTTATAATAAAGAACTCTATTGATCAATCAAAGTCTTAATAGATTATGAATTTTATGTGTTTCAGACTTTCCATATTCTACATTACCATCAATTACTTATATCTTAAAATTTAACATATTTTTACTTAGTTAGTAAATAAATTAATTTTAGAATTGAAATCTTATGATTTTTAAGTACAAGCTCTCATTATTATAATAATTCGTTACTTTACTTAACGTTTTGGTTCTTAGTAGATACTCTCTTAATTGATATTGTAGTGTATATTTTATGATATTCTAGATTGTTAAGTTAAATTAATCTTTTCAACACTTGGATTAATAGTTCTTTAAGAGTTTGATTCTATTTATCTTTTTCTTTCACTAGTTTCTACTTATTTTAATATTCTGAATTATATCTGGAGTATCAGTATGAGAAAATATCTTTGAAGGTGAACATAGAGTTTTATAAGATTAACTATTCTTATTTCTCAAACTATTAAGTATATTTGGATGATGGCTTTATTGCTGTTTGTATACATTTAAAATTTATACTTAATCAAGATTTCTTATTGGAGTTGAATTCTCAAAAATTCTATTTGTTAGTCTCAAATATGAATTATAGATATCAATTTTCTTCATAACAGATTGATTTAAATTTATCAATAATTCTAAGCTATAATAATATTTTTGATTCATATATTTTTCATCTTAAGAATGCTTATAGAATATTTGATGTTGTTTTATATACATTTAGGTTGATTTTAATACTTCCAGTGCAAAATTTGTCTTATTAATTTTATTTTTAGAATAGTTAAAGGCAAAATAAATAAACATGAGTAAAATGAAGTTAAAGCTCACTCAATCTACAAAGGATCAGGAGTCCAATTAAGATAAATCAAATTAATAGAATCAAACATAGGAAATAGAATAAATGCTGTCATCGCCAGAAGTGAAAAAATTTGAAGCCTTCTTGTACGAATCATTTACAAATAAATAAAAGTTGTCTAAGAAATTTTCTTAATTCGCTCCTCTTCCCTCAAAAGTGAACAGTATTTATGAGGATGAATTCAGTTTAAATCATAGTCATGATCATCGAAACAGTGAATAATGATTAAACTTCTTATTTATTTTCCAACAAGTCTATAACCATTATATTAATGATATTAATAATCCTATTAAAACTAGAATAACTTATTTATATGAATTGAACATTTTTTCTTTAAACTAATTTATAAAATTTTCAAAGACTAATTTTGAAATAATAATTACCCTTAAATACCTCCATAAACTTTATATTTATAATATATTGTGTATTAATGTTCATAGATATTCAGATATTTAGAAATAATATAATTGTGTGATGGTATTAACATATATAAAATATCTCACTGAATTATGTAAATACATTTTTTTAATGAAATTGATATTTAATAAAATTAAATTAAATTAATAGTTATATAAAAATATATTAAAAGGAACGAAAAAAATAGAACTTACAATAATCTTCTGTGTGTATTGTCATTTTTTCAACAATCTATAATAACGAATATCTGTTATAATTTGAATCAAATGATATTATGACAAATGAAAACAAAGAAGAGTCATTATTTTGAAATATCATGTGAAATTTATAAAGACTCTTATATTTAAAAGGCTTATATATAATAAGGCATAAAATAACAGTAGATAAATAAAAATGTTATTTGGTTTCAATGAGATCTTCAATATTGAATCATAAAATATAATAAGATAAATCTCCAAATTGCAATAAATAAATAAATTAAACTAAAATTTATAATTGTTATTATCAAAAATATTGGATATATATAAATTAAAAGATAGATATTCAAATCTAATTTTATTTTATTTACAATTTTATACAAGAAAAAACACAAAATTTCATTTATGTGGGTATATTTTAAACCAAACATTTAATTTCATAATTTATTGATATTATTATAGTATTAGTCACATCAAATCAAATTTTGTGTATGTGGAATAATTGAATACTCTCTCAACAGAATTATATTACTTTTTTTCTTTTTTTCTGATTAATTAAATTTATGATATTGGAAAAACAATAAAATAAACATCAAGAAATCTTTCTGCACCTATGAGGTCTTCCTAGATTACCTATTGTCATAATGTTTATCTGAATATTTTTATATTCATTTTTTTTAATCTGTAATTTATCATAATATTAAATTATTTCTGTAACTGTATTATAATTATATACATGTAAAAATATCAATTATATTTTCAAAGATTGTGATATTAGTAATTACAAATAAAATAATATAATAATTAGTAGAGTTATATAACTAACTTAAATAAATAGATATGTAATTGCAATATATATATATATAAGAAATCATGATAAGTAAACTTTCTTCATCTTTAAAACTTTGACTCTATCAATAGGACAATGATCAATCCTTTTTGAACACTCTTCACATACACAAACATGTCCACACGGCTTCAGTACAATACAATATTCCTTTTGTAGACATATCACACAAAACTTTTATATCAGTGAATTTTTATAAAGAGATATCTAGTTTTTTGTTTTAACTAATTGATCCTCCACTTTTTTTATATCTTCAAAACTTTATGATCTTATTGTCTCAAAATCTCCTTCATACAATTTCATTTGTAGTTTCAATTAACTATTTGCTTCTTCTATTTGTTTAACTTTACTTTTCTCTCTTTATAACTCATAATTAATTATTAAGTAATCTTATTGCAAAGCTTTACTATGTTCCTTCTTTTTTTTTTAATCCCAAATTTGATTTGGACTTGAATCCAAAAATTCTCTAAAAAGTCTAATAACACGAAAAAGTTATTTATGTGCCAATATTAGTTAATCTTATAAAGAATTTCCAATGATATCTAAACATTGGGAATCAACAAGACTTCTGATATCATCATCATTTTAACAACAAAGTATCTCTTCAACTAGCATTTCATCATCTTATTCACTCATTTCTTTATTAAGAATAATTAAATATCAAAATTATATTATGATTCCTATTATAAACTATAATATTTATGAAATATATAAATATTAATAATTGAATCAATCCATTTATTTAAATTAAAAATATATTTGATTACAATAGCATTCTTATATATTCAATCTTTTTTAATTTAATGTATTCTTATACTTTCTTATAATTATAAATATTATTTTAGACTAATACAATGAAATATAGAATACATATCCTATCATATAATATACTATAAATGAATATTATAATTTATTCTTTCATTTTTTAGGATAAGTTTTTCTAATTTATATTTATTGTAAAAATGAATGAGGAATAGTGTGATTATGTCTTCAAATTTATAATTATTGGAAATGGTAATTGTGGAAAAACAAGTCTACTATATCATTATATTCATGAGAAATGTAATTTATACAATGAATCAAGAAATTGCAAATGTTAAACAAACATTAGGAGTTGAATTTTCTGCCAAGATAATTTAAGTAAAATAAAAGAGAATTAAAATGTAATTATGGGATACTGCTGGTTAAGAGAGATATAGAGCCTTAACCAAAGCTTATTATAGAGGTGCCTTAGGTGCTTTAATTGTATTTGATGTTACTAAGTACAAATATACAGTACAATAGTTCAGACTCTTTTGAAGCTCTTTAAGAGTGGATTAAACATGCCAGAGATTATTCTAAACCATCTATTTAAATTATAATAATTGGAAATAAAATAGATCTTGAAAAAGAGAGGTAAAATTATATTTTTAACAAAGAGTGATTTCTGAATAATCAGCTAAATAATTTTGTTAAGAGAATGATGTATAATATGTGGAAACTAGTGCTACTACTGGTTATTAAGTCAATGAAGCATTTACGCAAATAACAATAAAAATTCTAGATTTATTGTAATAAGGAGTAATTGATGGTGGTATGATTAAACCAAAATTCCTTATGTCAAAAAAAGTAGATGAAAAAGAAAAATAATAACAATGTAATTGTTGACCTCTTGTTTTTATTAGTTTATAACATTAAATATCAACTATAAAATCATTTGGATTTAAATTTTCTTAATGTTTCTTTTTATATATAATTATATATATATATATATATCATAAATGATAACCTTCTCAAAGGTTTTCAACGTTACCACCTTCATCATCAAGTTCTGAGGTCCATAATGTCAAGTTATCTCTAATTAATTACATAATGGTTGTTGCATCTTTGTATTGATCTTCTTAAATTTATTCAATGTCAGCAATAGCATCATCAAAAGCCTATAAATGATTAATAAGATTCATTACTGATTTAGCTAATTAGCATGCCTTAGCAGCATCATTCAAGACTTCATAATAGAAAACTGAGAAATTCAAAGCAAGTCCTAATCTGATTGGATTTGTGGTTTTTAATTCTGAATTAGCAACATTGGAAGCAGCTTAGTAAGCGGCAAGGGCACCATCAGCAGCCTTTTTGTGTTAATCACCAGAGGCATATTCAGAAATGTATCTGTGATAGTCTCCCTTCATCTTGTGGAAGAACACTTTAGCTTCAGGAGTTGAAGCAGTTTTGATCAAATGACTGTCGATCAAATTGAGGATATCGTGGCAATATTGATTCAATTCTTCTTCAATCTTCTTCTTGTAGCTTCTGATTAACACAAGATTCTTTTGTGAGGCAGGTTGGGATTGAGCCTAAAATTTAAATTTTTTTTTTTACTTTTCCTTCTTCTTTGTTTTCAATACTGGACAATACTCTCCAAGCTGTTCTTCTTCCACCAATGCTATTTTTGTAAGCTACAGAAAGAAGGTTTCTCTCTTCGATTGATAACTCTTATCCATTTTGAACCACTTATTTGATGTAATTGACCATATCTTCGAATCTCTCTGTTTATTCTGTCAATTTGGTCATATAGATGAGTTCTTCCCTAGTGCTCATTTAGATATTTAAAAATTTAAATTCTTATTTGTTTCCAAAATCAAAGATCACTCTTAAATATACCAAAATTCAATATAATCAAATAAATCTAATTTTATTTAAATATATAATATGAAGTATTATACTTTATATATATATATAATTCAAATATCTTACCCCATATTTATTTGATGTATAGTTCATAAATAAATTATAAATGATATAAATCATAAATATCTTCATTCCCTAATTAAAATAAACAAAGGGCTTGGTTATTTCTTGAATTGAAAATTTGAATTTTATTTCAAAAATTTTTATAGAATTCAATAATTATTATACATCATTATATATATTAATGCAATATCTATTATGATTATTGATATCAAATACTAGAGACAACTCTAATCATAGAATAATATAGATTATTCTAAAATCAAATATATTTTATTTTGAAAATAAATTCTTAATAATAATGATCCTATAATAGATATGCTTATGTTTGTATAAATACAATACATTATAATTCTTAGTAGAAACACTATAAAGATTTATATAAATTGATAGGATATAATTAATATAAAACAAACCCTTCTTTTATAGCAATATTTATTATAATTTTGATAATAAATGAAGAGTATCTATTTTTTGATTATCCCCTTGATTAAAGACATATTAGTTTATACATAATTTTTTTAATTAGTTTTATAGTTCTTTTATCAATATTAGGTATCATTCTTATTAGAATATGTATTTCTTTAATTATTTAAATTTATATGTAAGAATAGCATTTTAAGAAAATTAATCAATATTACTTTTAGAAAGTAATAGGGAGTGTATGTCAATTGTAAATATTCTTAGGGATCATTTGGGATTGTATATTTAGGATGGGATGATAATTTTAAAAGATAAGTAGCAATCAAGGAAATTTGCATTTCTAAATTTGATCTTAATTAAGTATAGGATTAGAGATAATATTAAATGATTGAAAAAGAAATTGAAATTAGCAAGAAATTGAAAAATAAAAATATAGTTGAGTTGTATGATAGTTTTAAAACTGAGAAATACATTTATATTATTTTTGAGTATTGCAGTAATGGTGATTTAGAGATTTTATTTAAAAAAAATAGATTCTAAGAGATTGAAGTAAAGGCTATATTTTAATAAATAATTGGAGGAATTAAATATTTGTATCAATAGAAAGTTGTTCATAGAGATATAAAACTTGCAAATATTTATATAAATTAGGAGTGGATTATCAAGTTAGGAGATTTTGGTTTTGCAAGAAATTTTGATAATTATATGTAATCATATTGTGGAACTCCAATAACAATGGCTCCAGAGATTATTTGTGGGAAAGGAGAATATGATGAAAAATGTGATATTTGGTCTTTGGGTATGATCTTGTATATGATGGTTTTTGGTAGTAGTTATTTATAATAATTCATTACACCAAAAACATCTTTAAAAGAATTTTCAGAAATAGTTTAAAAATAAGAAGTAAGAACTATTTAATTTTAGGTTGTATTTCCTGCCAAAGCAATTATTTCATAAGGATTAAGAGATTTATTTACAAGAATGCTTAAAGTAGATGCAAAAAAGAGAATTGGATATTAAGAATTATTTGAACATTATTGGATTACAGAAGGGGAGAATGAAAGTTTTAAGAAGAGTGTTCGTTGTATATCTAAGAGAATGAATTCTGGAGAAGCTAGTGATATTAAGATTCCTTTATAATAAACAATTAATGAATAACTAAGTTATTAATTTGGTCAGTATGGAATAGTAAGAAATGAAATAATTGAAAATATTAGAGATATGTTAAACTTATGTTAAAATATTGATAATGTTAAAAGACTTTGTGAAACTTTCTTAAAGAAATTAAGATCATCATAAAATAATTACTAAATAACTATAATAATGAAAAATTAAAATAGAATATTTAAGGAAGGGAAGGTTAAGATTTTTGATATCAAATTTAAATTAACATATTTACTATTAAAAATATTACAAGAATTAATAATGACAGACAATGTTACTAATGATAGATTAGAAAAGGCACAAAAATTATTTGATATAGCATAAAAAACTAATATTAGTAATGTTATAAATATTAAAATTACAAAAGAGGAAATAGAAAAGATGAATGATTAAGAATTAAATTAATAATTTGAATAATTAGGAGATGAGTTAAGAGAAATTATGATATAATAATAAGCAAGATAATAATAAAGACCACATAAGAAAGAATATGAAATAGTATTTGAGAATAAGTAATTAGAAGAATAAACTTCTTTAATGTTGGGAAGTGTAATTGAGAATTTTCGTCTCCTTAGAAAAAATGAGAATATATGAAATACTTATAATAAAATTTTATTATGTTGTCAATTTAGAAAGTAAATATTGCCTCTCTCTATAACAGAAATGAAGAATACAAATCTTGTAATCGTGAGACTGATAGAGAAGATGGTTCAAAAATTTGTATACTTCTATAATAATTTTAGAGAAGTTCAAAGATATATTGCATTAAAATATTATACCTATCAATGAATTATTACATTTGGCATGGTCAGGAGTGCCTAGTGAACTCAGAAGTACAGTTTGGAGACTTTTACTTAAATATTAATCTCCAAATAGAGATGCTAATGTATATATATGATAATAGACTTAATTAGTTTGCAATTATAGAAAGAAAAAGAAGTATGTACTATGAAATGTGTGATATTTATTTTGCTAAAAATCAATAATATGATGAAAGAGAGAAGAAGATTCTAAAATAAATTTCAGAAGATGTTAAACGCACAATACCAGATTCTGCAATATTTAGAAACCCTTAAATTTAAATTTTATTAGAAAGAATCCTTTTTATTTGGAATATACGAAATCCTGCATGTGGATATGTACAAGGAATGAATGATATCGTTAGTCCTTTTTTGGTTGTCTTTTTATCTGATTATATTGATATTGATACAACAAAATTACAATTCACTAATGAAAAACAATTAGATCATTTAGATTAAAGGTTAATTAAATAAGTAGAAGCAGATTCTTATTGGTGTCTTTGTAAATTATTAGAGAGTGTACTTGATAATTATACTAATTCTTAACCAGGATTGGTCAGATTCTATAACAAATTTAAAGAAATATTATCAGCATTAGATAAAAAACTATATGAACATCTAACTACATCATTATGTATAATTATATTTTTAATATTTAGCAATGGAATTATATTCATTTATTTTTAAATGGAGTACTTGTATGTTATTAAGAATGTTTCAATTTGAAGTTGGATTAAGATTATTTGATACTTTATTAGCTGAAGAATAAAGTAATCTAATATATATATTATTTATAGATTATTTTGAATTGTGTCTTTTCATAATCATATCTATTTTAATGAAATTTTCACTTAAAATATAGAAATTGTAATATGATGAAATAATGATACTACTAGAAAAATTACCAACAAGAGAATGGTCAGAATCTGATTTAAGTCTTTGTTTATCTGAGGCTTATGCTTACTAAAAGATATTTTCTAAAAAATGAATAATATTTTTAAAGATATTAATTGTTATAAATTCTTTAAAATTTAAATAAGTATTTATTCAATTCTATAATAAATCTCTAAATAAAAATATAATATCAATCAATAAATTTCATTTTATTATTGATTTCAATCTGGTTATGGATCATTTTATTTCATAGACTTTTCCTCCTCTTAATAATTTTACTCCTTGTCTTCTTCAACTCTTTCTTAATTATGAGAATTAGGCTCCTCTGAATTATTAGTATTATTATTATTTTCTTAAGTAAATTATATATCTTGATTTTCATCTTCAAGATCATCTAGATAAAATTTTTGACGAGAACAAACATATGTTAATAGTTCAATTTAAAAAAAGATATCTAAATGTATTTTAGTAATATCATTATTTAATTATATAACACCTAAAGGATTATTTAAATAATTTCTATTAGGACTGAAATTTAAGTGTTTTAAAGCCTCTTAAGATATTTAACTCTATTTATAATATAAGATAATAATACTAATTTTATCATTATTTAAATTTGTTCTTCAGTGTCTTTACTAGGTTAAAATTCATTCATATTGTAAATATATTTATAAGCTAATTTTAAGAAGTTCTAATTATAAATTTATTTTTAATCAATAATTTATAGTTCCCTTTTTTTATAAATAAAATTTATACTTTTTTCTTTTTTTTAATATTTCATCTTAAATTGTTATTGTTTATACCATCCAACCATGAAAATATAAAGCTTAAAGTAAAAATGTAAGTAATTAATTTAAGTTTACTTCAGGATGAATTAAACCTACAATATTAAATTCAGGTGCTGATAATGCTGATTATTAAAGTTGTTTCATTTATTTATAACTTAAAGGTAGAAATTACAAATTTAAGTAATCAAGTATTTATTATTTAATGTCTTTGGCTAATTCTGTAATACTAAATTAACCATTAATTTCAAAACTATGACAAATCGTTTATTATTTATTAAATAATCTAAGCATCATAATAAGTGGTCTATAAATCTCAATATCATTTAAACCAGCTTCTATTTATTGATGTAAATCATCCCAATTTATAAAGTTCATTATCATATCAATACAAGTTCGTAATTTCTATTTAAGTGTTCCTGCTGCAATCTAAAAATTCTTTAAAGTTTCATATTAGTGAGCTAAATCTTTTGCTATTTCATACTCTATAATTTCTTTCTTATAAGGAATATACCAATATTTTTCAACCCTATTAATCAATTACAATCATATTACATTGTTTTAAAATATCTACAAACTATTCTCAATTTGAATATATCTATAATACCTAAAAATGATAGTATATTGCTCTAAAATATATAAGATGGAATAGTGCTCATTAATGAATCTTCATTCAAAAGAGGAATTTATTCTCTTTCATTAGATTTAATCTCAATATTTATATTCCTTGGTATTTAAAAATGCACACTTTAAGCTTCAATATCATATTTAAAACATTAATTAAAGTACAAATAAGGAAATGCAAATATTTTATAAATTTCAAAGAAAACTTACTATTATAATAATTAAATAAAATTTACATTCTCGTCATTTTTAAATTCGTGCTATTTTGCTATATTCATTTGCTAATTCAAAACCTAAATAGGTTTAACTTTGAAATTATTGAAAATACCTAACCATTTTAGAGTTTCTTATGAATCATTTAAGTTATTTAACTATTCTAATTCTTTAGAATTTAAATTCTATTTTATTTCATCAAAATAGACTTCTTTACTTATGTCTTTTGATATATATAAACTTCTATTTGGACTTTTTACTATTTTCATTATTTAATATAATTTCGAACTCTTTACTTTATCATCCCAGTCATGAATGAGGTTTGGGATTGCATCTAATTAAGACTCATATAATTATTTTCTATTATTATAATTTTTCTAAATTATTTAATGTAATTATTCAAAAGTTCTAACATCTTCATAATCATCTAAAAATTTTTATTAGAATTTATTGCAAGTTTTTTCTAAAAATTATCTATGAATGAATCTATCATTTGGAGTTTCTTCAATAACACTAATTAGACCTTTTATTTGGTTTTTTTAAGATAGTTAAAACTCTGAATATGGTACATTACGCCAAAAATAATTTTATTGTTAATTTTAGTTGTGCTATATATCCTGATTTTCATTTTGAATCTATTCTGCATCTTAAGAATTATTTTATTATTGTTATGGATTAGGTTCTTAATTATCTTGACCATTGTTCTATTAAAACATATAAAAAAATAAATAAAAAATAAATATTTTTTTTTTCATTATAGTAATTTAATAGTCTAAATTTAAGAATCGGATTTTAGAAATTCATTTGAAAATTAAGATTACTTCTCTCTTATTAGTAATATATATTTTTTTAAGAAAACCAAAAAACATAAAGTATAAATGTTTGATTATATGATGTTTTGTTATTATTCTTATTTCATTCTAGAGGTTATGGATTTTCAAATCGAAATAATTTTTTTGTTCTTAATTAAATATGCATTTTCTTTGCATTTTCTACAAAAACAAAATCTTTGTGAAATTAAAACAATCTTTTTAATTCAGAAGATATTTTTTATGTTTTCTTGCCATTTAAAGAAGAATGAATATTTTCATTAAAATTCATTAAATAGTTCTTTTTTATTATTTAGAAATGATGCTCCATTAAAATATTATTTATTTAAAAAGAAATTGCCATATAAGAGCTTTTAAATGATTATCAATTTTTGATATTATTGTTTTTTTATTTATTGTGATAGTTCTCAATCAATTCCAGCTAAATATTCCTTTAGATATTTTGAGTTCTAACCTTGCAAAAATTTTAATCAACATTTATTTTTATTCTCTAATATCTTTTTTTATTTTCTATTTTTTAATATTTATACAATCTATTATAATTTGAAATTACAAAATGGTTTAATAGCAAAAATTTCATCTTAAAATATAGTTTTCTTCATTTCTGTATAAAGTCTTTAGCTATATTACACTTTCGGTTTTTGATTGAATATAATAAAAAAATCTATTTGATGTTTTGATTCAATTAAAGTATTATGAATTCGAATACAAATGAATTCCATAATATAAGAATTTTATCCTTTTATCAAAGATTAACTAACTATTCTCGTTTATATTTTTTACTTAATTGTTTACTTTATTATAAAATAACACTTATATAATATATCAATTAATTTTAATCACATTTACGCAATCATCACTTGAACAGGTTGCAATATATTTAGAATTCATAACTAATCCTTCTATTCCACCCATATGTGTCTTTTATGCAACAATGAAATCTCCCTTCTCTTAATCATATAAGAAAAAAAATCCATTTTGACATCCAATTGCAATTAGATTTTAATATACACTCATATATGTTAATGTAAACCATTCATTAATAAAAAAGGTATTGATAACTTTAATGAGACTATATTATTAATCATATAATCTTATTGTTCTATCATCACTACAAGAATATAATATTAATTTATTTTATGAGTGTTTCCAATCTAAACATGTTACTGCTAATTTATGTCCAGTCAATTCAACAATTTATTTTTAATTATAATCAAAGACTTTTACACATTAATCTTCAGAACCAGTAGCAAAAATATCTTATTCAGGATTAAATATACAAGTCCAAATATCTGCATGTATATTAAGAGATCCAAATAATTCTGATTTCTCTTTTGGAGGATGTGCTAAAAATGTGAATAATTATTTCTCATTTTTATACAATCTCACTAAACCATGTGTAGTTGAAATAAGTAAATCATCATTTTTAACTCTTATACAAGTAATTGAACCTTCAATTTAATCAAATTGTTAACATTACTCATTTTCATACTTATACAATTATCCTTCCATTGTTCCAATATAAATAATATCATCCTTACAAGCAATTGAACGAATTGATGATCCTATAAAATATTCTCCAATTGATTTTCCTGTATCCAAAGAATTAATTGTTATATTTCCCAAGAAATCTCCACTTACAACATAATCATTTTAATAGAAATCTATACCACATTTTGTCAATCCTCCAAATTCTTTATGTAATACATGAACTGCTTTATATATTGTTACATTTTCTTCAGATGCAGTTACTAATACATCTTACTTTTTATAAATAGCCTATACTAAAGTATTTAATCCTTGCTTATATTATTATACAACCTTTTCCAATGTTTATAAATTAAAGATTGTAATTTCTTTATTCTTATTCTAAAATACTAATTCATAATCATTTTAAAAACATGCTGCTTATATAACTCCATTTCCTTCTACTTTATGAATATTAATTGAATGTTTTTCAATGTCATATATTAGTATTCTTCTGTCATAATAAAAATATGCAATATATTTTGGACTTTAAGCAATCACTAAAATATCTCCTGGTTCAGTTTCAAATGGTAACACCTTTTCTAACCCCTATTGATTGTGTACTTCAAGTGAAAATAGATATTGTTTGTTATTCTTATATTTTTTTAAATCCTTGTAATTTAATCTACCTTTATCATCTTTACTTAATTTGCCATGTCTTTTGGATTTTAATAAATAAAACATTTAATTCTAGACACAACCATAAAAATAGCAGCCATCAAAAAATTATATCTATTCAAGTGTAGTTGCATTTAAGACTTGTATAATTCCTTTATTTTTTGAGTGTTCAGCACTTATCAATAAAACATTTCCTTCAATAGATGACCATCTACATTATGATCCGATTTAACTAAGATATATATTGATTTATATATTACTGATTTATATAATTAACTTTTTTATAAGTCTTGATATCCAATTAACAAATATCTCCATCATGTCCAATTGAATATATGAAATTATCATTATGAATTAAACTATAGATTGTACTTTGATTTGTTTAAAATTATGTAATTTTATTAAAGGTTCTATGAATTAGACTATAATATTTACATATCATCATAAATAGCAATTGATGTGGCAATTGGTAAAATTATGTTATTGTTTAGATAAAGAATGGATTTGAATCTGCAAGTTGCTGTGCCAATAGAGAGAATATTCAAAGGTTAACTTTGATGATTATAGATGTATTATGGTTTTTACATTCTAATAGTATTATTTTGTATTTAAAAACACAAAATAATAAAATATTTATATAAAGACACAATCAGAATTAATCAAAAATTCCTATTCTAATTACAAACTCATTGCAAACTAATTAATTTAGCAAACTGTGTTGCCAAATGATTGTCATCCAAGAATATCTAATTAAAATTTTTGGCATTAAATCCATCCTAATATAAATTTTATATATCTTCGCATCCTTTTTCTGACATCACAACTACATTAATTTTCATATTATAAGATGGATTAACTAAATTATTGAAGCTCAGATGTAATAGAAATTACTGAATTTAAGAATAGAGATCATCCTCATTATTTGCAATAAGATTAGACTTATTTTCTTTATGTGATATATCCCAACTCTAATCAATATAAGCTAATAGATGTTGTAATTAGAGGAAACTTAAATTTAATGTATCATATAATGGGAATTCCAATGTTTACATTAAAATAACTGTAACATTTGTTTCAATAGATGCAGGCATTTTCTTAACTCTATAATTATAATTAAAATTCTATACATATAGGTTGATAAACGATGTGCAAAGAAAAGCATTTCCCCTAAACCTATAATATTGATTGTTTTTGTATCTTCTGAAAAATATGGTGTAATAAACTCATGTACTCTTTCTATAAATCTAAATTCTTCATCAATTGAATCTGACAATTCTTAGACCTATAAAACTTCAGTATATGGAGTTGAAAACATAATTAATGTGGCATTCAATTATTAGGCCATTTCTGGTAATTTTACATGATCATAAAAAAAATTAAAAGATTAACCAAGTGGAGGGAATATAATATATAGATTTTGATAAAGATGAGTATGAATTTCAACTTAAAATAATTGATTTACTCTTAATTCTGTTCCCAAATCCACTATTGAATAATTATATAAATTGACTAAATCTGATGTAGTATTTATGCAAATATTGTCTACAGATATACAATCTTCAACACAATAATTTGATTTCAATTTATATGGATGAACACATTAAACACATCTCTATGTATACTCATGATAACAATATTCACAATTTTATTAACATTCTAAACAACTAAATTTACTAGTATCGAAAGATGTATTAAGAGGACATAAAAGTTATGAACGATCATTAGGATTATGAAATGGTAAAATTATTTGTTTTTAATCTACTCTTGATTTCTTAGATAGCCAACCCATGAAAATCAAAGAAGATATTGCTGTAAGTAGAGCAAAAACGCCTAAATTTAACAAAACCTTCTTGTTCTATTCTTTATGTTGTTATCTATCTTCAATATGACTAATTATTGCTCTTCGTTCAGTATTTGTATTGAAGTATTCTTCCTCTTCTTCTTCTGACATTGTTAATTTATATATTTTGTTTTAATAAGTATGTAATACTCAATTGTAAATATAATTAAAAAATGTCAATATAAAGAGAATGGCAGAAATTTGTTAGACCACCTCGATATAATTATAGTTACTTTGATCTAGGTTATTTATTTCTTATTAACATATTAGGTCCTGAATACATTTAACTACATTAAGGTTATCTACGGAAACATGAAAAGATTATTACTAATCGTTAAAATTGCAAATTATAAATGTCATACTTTGAATTGAATCCAAAAACTTCTAATTGTATTGTTTATTGTCATGGCTATAATGGATGTAGAATAGAAGGCATTAAATATGCTTCAATTGTAGCATAATTTGGCTTTAACTTTTGTACATTTGATTTCTAAGCATGTGGTCATTCTGAAGGAGATTTCATCACTTTTGGGTATGATTTATAATTAAACTAATAGACATCTTGAGAAGGATGATATAACATCTATATTACATGAATTAGAAATCCAATTTCAATAGAAATAATTTATTTTATGGGGAAGATCTTTAGGTGCCACTACCATTTAATTAAAAGAATAACCTAATGTTAAAGGATTGGTATTGGATAGTTGTTTCACCAATTTCAATAAATTAGCAATTAGTATAATTCAAAAATAAACTCGATTACCTAAATTCATAATCAAGGCAATCATCTACTTAACCAAAGGATCAATTGAAGAAGAAGCAGGATTTCAATTTAATGATATCCAAGTTTAATGTAATTCAAATATGCCTACTCTCTACATTTGTAGTGACAAAGATTCTCTTATAAAGGCTAAAAATAGTTTAAAATTGTATAAGTAACACAAAGGAATTAAGAAATTGATCAAAGTAGATGGAGAACATAATGATTCTAGACCTCTAGAAATCATTCAACAAATTTGTTCATGGTGTAAGGACAGAGTGCAAATACAATAAAACAATTATATATAATACAATTCAGTCCCTCAAGTGGCTAGATTGCCATTAGAATTAATCTATGATTCTAATATTTAGAGTGGGATGTAATCTTCATACAATAGGATTCCCAAGAATCCTGCCATCAAATTAAAAAATTAAATAAGTATCTAGTTAAGAACAAGCTGTAGAAATTTACATAGTGCAGTATAATACTGAATATATATATATATTAAGACTTATATATATATATTTTATTTAAAAAAATGTAATTTATAAATGAAGGAGTTGAATGGTTTGAAATCCATTCTACAATCTGGGCTAATGATGTAGCATGTATAATAAATGCTTAAAATAAGTGTTGAAAGACAATTATATTATGGGCTTTAAGGGAAAGCATAGACGTATAGCTTTAGGCAGTTCAATTGGGTTGTTGATGCTCACTCAATTAGCTTAACGAAATCCTATAGGAGCTTTACGTGTAGGTGCTTTTGCATTTCCTGTGCTCAGCTATGTGATATGCCCTGAGATATACAATTCCTTATTATGATATACGTGTAAAATAATTAAAATGTTCATAAAATTCGAGAGACATTCAGATCGTGTCAAGAGTGTTTCTTTTCATCCTCATCGTCCTTGGGTATTAAGTGCACTTCACTCCGGAATCATTGAAATGATAGATTATAGAATAAAGAAAAGAATTGCAATATATGATGATCATAAGGGTGCTGTTCGATCAGTTTAGTTTCATCCGCAACTTAATTTATTTTGTTCAGGAGGAGATGATTTTACAGTTAGAGTTTGGAATTTTAAATAATGCTAATTTATATTAAAAGGGCATTTGGATTATGTTAGATGTGTTACATTTCATCCAATAAATCCGTGGGTATTGTCTGGTTCAGATGATCAAACTGCAAGAGTATGGAATTATCAAAGTAGATAAATGATAGCAATTTTGACAGGACATACACATTACATTATGGCTTGTCATTTTCATCCTACTTAAGATTTAATTATCACATGTTCCTTAGATTAAACTGCTAGATTATGGAATTATGGAGTACTCAAATAAAGATATGCCTAAAAAAAGAATTAAGAGTATGTACTATCAGGAGCAGAAGTACAAGTTATTTCAATTTTGGATGCACATAAAGATCAAATCAATTGGTGTGCTTTTCACAAAACAGAGCCATTCATAATTACTAGTGCTGATGATAAAACAATAAAATTATGGAAGTATAATGATAATAAAGCTTGGGAATTTGATACTTTATCAGGTCATACAAATAATGTTTGTTGTTCAGAATTTCATTCAAAAGGAGATGTGATTATTTCAGATTCTGAAGATCATACTGTAAGAATTTGGGATTTTGCTACTCGTAAACAAATTGGTATTTATGAAAACAAGCATTTTGATCGTTATTGGATAGTTACATGTCATTAAAATAATTACTACTTTGCATGTGGTTCAGATACTATGTTATAAGTGTTTACACTTCATAAAGATAGAGTGCCTCTTATATTAGTTAATGACAGATATCTTTGTATGGCTGAATAAAAGACTCTCAAAGTTATTGAAATTATTAGTGGTTAATAACAAATCATAAGAGACATATCCACTGTCATTACTCCTACACCTACTCTCTTAGAGGACAATATTGAATTTATTGAGTACAATACATATGACACACAGAAAACATAATTGATGATAAGATGTATCAGATCATTCAAGGAACCAATTAAACCTAAGAGACACTTATTATTGGTATTTCAACCATAAAAAGGAGATTCTGGAGTAAAATAATTCTTTGCTTTTTGTGCATGTTTTATTGGTAAAAGCAAAATTGCAAGAATTAATTAAGATTAATAAATAGAATTATACAATTATGAAACAGAAGTTGTTCAATTAATTGATGAAAAATAATCATCTAAAATATTTCCTGCTCCTGGTGGTAAAATATTAATTCAAAGAATTGGAACAACACAATTGGAATTATTTGATCCTCTAACTAAATCAAGTTTATATTCAGTTGAGTATACTAATGCCAAATATGTACATTATGCTGAATCTTATTTAATTGTTTAAACTAAATTGTCTCTAACAATCTTTACTAAACAACTATAGAAATTAATTGAAATCTAAGAATAAATTAATATTAAATCCTTCATTTGGATTAATAATTTTATAATATATACTACAAAGAGTCAAATTAAATATTTATTATTAAATGGAGACACAGGTGTATTAAAATCTACTGAAAATATTTTATATTTAGTTAAAGGTGAAGAATAATAATAAAGTAAACTTAAATTAATAGCACTCGATAACACAGCCAAATATTTAACAGAATTCCTTGATATCTCAGAACCTTTATTCAAGATAGCCATTATGAACAAGGACTTAAATTCTATACATAAATTTGTTGAAAATAATCAAAATGAAGCTATTCTTTCTTATTTATATTAAAAAAGACTTGCATCTGTTGCATTAAAATTAGTTAAAGATAAATAAGGTAATTGATTTTTTTATCATTTTAGCTAAATTTTCACTTTCTCTCGATAGTGGTAATTTGGATTATGCATATAAAGCTGCAATAGAAATCAAAGAACCATAATTATTTGAATAATTAAGAACTGAAGCCTTAAGATAGGGTAATCATTTATTAGTGGATATTTGTGATTAACAATTAAGTTAATTTGATAGATTGTCATTTTTATATTTATGCACTGGAAATATAGAAAAGCAAGAGAAATTACAAAACATAAATCCTAATTTTATATATCTATCATAAATTTAAAGGAAAATCGCAATTAAGAATTCAATACCCAAATTATATTAAATAATAGATTATCTTAATGGAACACCATAAAAATTAGATGAAAATTAAAAAGAAACAATAGAATGGATCAAATCATTAGGGGGTAGTTAGGCTATGATTCCTCCAGTACCTATAATGAAATATAAAAGTGATCCATGGCCACTTTTATAAATGAATGAATAAGATATTATCAATCTTGAAGTAACAGATGAAGCTGTTGTACCATAAGACATCTTTACATTCTAAAAGTAAGTGATACAAGAATCAAATGTTGATGAGTAAGATAATGATACACAATGGCGTTTAGATGAAGAAGAGCCAATAGAAGAATTTTAGGAATAAAAATTAAGAGATCCTGTTAATAATAACATTGATGAATAGGCATTAAGAGGTAACTTCATTTTTTAGAATGGAGAAGTAGCAATAAAATATTTTGCTGCTGGAGATTATGAAACTGGTATAAAGTTACTTAAACAATAAATAAATCTTATTAATTATCAACCATTATTCAAATTACTTGTTGATTTACCTAATTTTTAAATGTTAACTTTTTCTCCATATCTTAGTAATGCAACATTGCCAGTAAAAATCAATAGATTAAATGAAGTCAAGAATTTGATTAAATTAGGTATCTTTATTTTATAATTTTAGGTTATAAGTATACAACAGATGCAAAATTTAATGAAGTTAGTAATTGTTTTTAATAAGTATTATAAAAATTACTAGTGACAGATTTCGAAGAGAATTAAATTGATGAAATAAAAAGATATATTAATATAAGTAGAAATTATTTAATTGCTATGCGTTGTGATTAACTTAAAAAAGATGGTAATGCCTTAGAAGTAACTTGCAAAATGGCTACCATAGATTTATAACCTGGACATCGAATATTAACATTGAGACAGGCACTTAGTATTAGTTATAAATAGAAGAATTTTATCACTTGTTAAATGATAGCAAAAAAATTAATTGAATTACTTAAAAATGACAATAATCAAAAACCTGAAGTATTATAAAATGCATAGAAAGTATAATGATAGAAATAAAATTTTTAGTATGAAAAAGCTTCTCAATAATAGAATACAAATGCCATTTAAATAGAGTTCTAAGAATAATGGTTGAATGAATAACCAATTTACTCAGCAAACACACTTAAAAATATTTCAATTTTCAAATCTTGTCCATATGATGGTAGTGTTTATGAAATAGATTACTAATAAACTTGTTTGATTTGTGGATTATGTTAAGTAGGTAAAGCATCAGGACTTAAGTATAAATGAAAAATTATAAATTTTTTTATTTGAGGGTAATTATAATTATTAACATAAAAATAATATAATGGGAGCAGCATTGCGATCATTTTTTGTACCAGTTCCTCATCAAACTGTTTGTGTGTTGTAGAGATTTGGAAAATACACAAGAATATTAACCCCTGGTTTGAATTGGAAAATTCCATTCGTTGATGAAATTGCTTATGAACATTCACTTAAAGTAAATTAATTCTCATTTTAGGAATAAGCCTTCATGATTTATGCTTAGAATGCAGTCACAAAAGATAATGTTATTATATCAATAGATGGTGTATTGTATATATAAGTTGATGACCCTTTTAACTGTTCATATGGAGCCTAAAAGCCTATTGATTATGCTCAAGTAGCTTATTCTTTTGAATTACCCCTTAGATCCTTGCTTAATCAGTTATGAGAGCTGAGATAGGCAAACTCACACTTGATCAGACTTTTGAAGAGAGAGAGAAAATGAATGGTCTTATTTTGGCAGGACTTTCAGAAGCTGTCTAAGAATGGGGTTTAAAGTGTTTGCGTTATGAAATTAAAGATATAAAAGTTACAGAGAATGTTCGTAAAGCAATGAACATGGAGGCTGAAGCTGAGAGAACTAAAAGGACATAAATTTTGCATTCAGAAGCAAAGTAACAATCTTAAATAAATTTGGCTGAAGGAGAAAGATTATCAAAGATTTTAAAAGCTGAAGGATTGGCTCAATCTATTGTTATTAGATCAACTGCTACAGTTTAGAGAATTGAAGCTATTTCTAGTGCTATGAATAGTGAAGAAGGTGATTTGGCTGCTAGATTTAATTTGGCAGAAGAGTATTTAGAGGCTTTCAAGAAACTTGAAGGTAAATAGGTTCTAGTAAACAGTGATGTTAATAATCCTAAAGAAGTTATTAGAAAAGCTTTAGATATGGTTGATGCTCGTTTAAAATGAGAATTAAAATACAAATTATATATGAAAAAAAATATATTTTTTTTTAATTAATTCAATGCTAAATAATATTAATTTATCATTGAGTCAAATTGAAGAGCTCACTAAAGATGAGTTATAGAAGGATTAATCAACTAAAGTGAAAGTAGAAAGAAAAATTGAAAAAAGATTGGGATCGACTGATGAGTCTGCAAAAGTTTAAATGAAAATTGAAAAGAGAATTAGTTCAGCAAAGCCTAAAGATTCTCTTTAATAATACACTAATACAAAAATAAAAAATATTTACTAATTTTTAGAAAATGTTGAATCTGACTCTTCATAAGTAAGTTAATAAATTCAATAACAACCAGTGAGAAGTATTGAAGCTATTGAGAAAGAACATGAATATCAATCAAAGATTTAATAATTATAAGGAATTGTTTAAACATAAAAAATTGAATTAGATGAATAACAGAAAACTATTGATAATTTAAAATAGCTACTTGAAAAATCATAAATCAAATTAAAAGAGTCTGAGTAGAATTTTAAAGAAACTATAAATCGTAGATTAAATGAATAAAAGGCTGAATTAGAAGTAGTCATCAATAGACATCTTGGATTTATAGATTAATTAATAAATGATAAAAAAGAACTTAATAATTAGGTTGAATAGTTAACTAGTGAGTTAAAGGGAATTGATAAATAATAAAAGAGATAATTGGAAGAATTGAAGAATAATTTTGCAAGAGAAATAAAATAAAAAAATGAGTAATGGTAAATACAAGAAAAATAGAAGAGAGACAAATGGGAGAAAGAAAAGTTGGCTGAATTGAAAGAATAAACTATTAAAGGTTTAGAACCTGAGTTGAATAGAATGATAGAAAAGAATAAATTAGAAATTAAAAGAGTGGAAGAAAAATGTTAGAAAGAAAAAGAACTTTATAAAATATAAGTAGTTGAAGAATCTGAAATGAAAATGTAAATATTTAAAGAGAAGTGGGCTGCTGAATATGAATTATTATAATAAAAAGAGAGAGAAGCTTAATTAATTAAGTAAAAAGAATTATATAGAACTTATGAGGAATAGTTTGCTAAAGAGAGGGATGCTTATAAGTAAAGAATGTAATAGGATATTGAAGATTGTGAAAGAAGAAGAAAAGAAGAAGCAGATACATATGTTAAAAGGATGAAATAATTATCAGATTCTTAAGCTGAAGAGATCAAACGTATAAAGAGTGATTGTTAAAGAGAAATAGATGAATATAAAGAAAAGTATTTCAATATGGAAAGTGAAGTGAAGGAAGCATTAAGAGGGGATTAAGAAGCTTGGAAGTAGTAATTTACATTAAGAGCAGAAGCTGATATGAATAGATAGATTGAGAAGATTCAAAAAAAGTTAGAGTAGGATAGAAATGATAAAATTGAAAAAATAGTGTAGAAATTAGCTGAGGAGAAATAATAATATGAGTAGAATGTTCAAATGAAATATGATAAAAAATTAAGAGATTAATAAGCAAGTAAGGATGAAGAGATAAAGTAATTGAAGAAGTAAATAAAGGCTTTGGAAGATAGAGAAAATAAAGAAGGTAGTGAATATTAAGCAGTTTAAAAGAATAATTAGGATTTATAAAGGTTGATAGAGAAATAAGAATAAGAAAATCAGAAACAATTTAAAGAATATAAAAAATTGAAAGAGGAAATGCTAATGTAATAATTATTAATATATATTAGATATAAAGAGAAATTAACTTAATTTAAGGAGGAATAATCGTTAGAAATAAAGGGATTAAAAGAGTCTCATGAAAGAGAAAGGAATAGGTTTACAGAATAGAATAATAAATTATAATTTGAGTTGGCTAATTAAAAATAATTATTGGAGGAAACATGTAATTGTATGTGAATTCATGTAGTGAGAGAATTGGATATAAAACATTCATAAAATTTGGAAGAAATAGAAGAAAATGTAAAGAGAATTATTTTGAAGAAGGATCATGAAATTAAGTAATTGAAGGAAGAATTGAGAATGAAATAATTGGCATGTGAGAAATATGATGAATTATTGAAGAAATAAAGATAGGATTTACTAAGACAAGTAGAATAATGAGATAAATATTATATGACTTATGTGACTATATATAATAATTAAAATTAATATTTATATGCTTACAAAATATTAAAATGAACAATCCATCTATTATGTAATTTACTTAAAAGGAATCTGAATTTTGTTGGTTAGTTGGTTTAAAATCAATAAGTACCAAATAACCTATGCTCACTATGTGGTTGAAAAGTGAATAGAGAAAAGTGGATCCATCATTATTAAAAAATGAATTTATGAAATAATTCTAATCAGGATTTCTTCATCTTAATAGTATAATAACTGGAGACAGAAATAAGAATTCATAAATTATAAAAGGAATATCTGATATTACTGTTATGGCTATAGTAAGAGTAATAAGAGAAGATGGAATTAAAGAATTTGAACAAATTAGAAATGACTTTTAAAAATTGATAACTATTATAACATATTTAAGTTTAACAAGATCAGTAATGAGTGATGCAGTAATGAAATTTTTAAGCAATTAATAAAATGAAAGTCATTAATATCTTGAAAATTTATTATCAACATTAGCAAAAATAGAATAGATGAAAAATGTTATGAACTCTAATAAACATGATCCAATTAAAGATACATAATTATATAAACTGTTATTTGGAAAAGGTTACATTTATGATCCATTTACAGCTAATCATCAAAATATAACTGTAAGCTAATAGATTCCTTAAAATCAATAGATTAATTAATTATCTAATCAAGAAAAATAGACAGCATAAGTATCACCAATTAAATAAGCACTAACACCTATATCTGAATAAAAACAACAGTAATAATAGATGAATCAGTAAACAATTCTTTAACATTAACAAATAAATAAATAAACTAGACCATTAGTACAAGTAGAAGATTTTAGTGAAGATTCAGGTGATTCTTCTGTAGATCTTGGGAATAAATATATAGTAAATGCTAAACCATAGAAATAAATAAATGGATCTGATAGTGATTCAGAAATATAAGAGATTCCTAATTTTAAGATTTGATATTAATACATAGCAACCAAATAATTATTAACTTTGCAAATATATAATATATTTATAACAAAAGATTCAATTCAGTTACCTAGTATATTCATTTAGCTAACTATCTTAATAATGATGCCAAATATATTAAGGGATTGAAATCCATTGCTTCTCTTTATATTCTTAATTATAGTTTTAATTTCTCTAATTCATGTTTATCAGGAGATTCTTCCTCTCCTTAATCTTCTTATATTTATCCAAGCAAATGATTAATTTCCTATTTCATCTCCTACATTGTAATTTCATCAATTAAGTTTTATGATTGCTATTAAAATTCATTTTCTATGGGAATAAGTTATTCTAATTTTTTTCCAGTCTATTCATCATTGATTGATTTATTCTCTGGATTCTCTTCTTATCCTTCAGAATCACTTCCAAAGTCTGATCCTAATTCTTTTTTTAAACGATCTCTCTCTACCCGTCTTTTTTCTATTTTATCGCAAATCTTTATTTATTCCAACCTCTCTTTATGTTTATTTACTTCTTCTGTCTTCTCTACATATTCTACTAATTTAGCTAATGCAGTATGAAGAGTAGGAAAAATGTCATTTTACAAGTATTCTATTTCTTCTATTGTCCCGATTCTATTATTTGCTAACTACATTAAATTAAAATTTTCAAAAAATGGATCACTATGATGATTTTCATATAAATAAGTCTAACAATAAATATACAAGTATCAAAGATATATCAGAAAGAACTCAACAAAGCTTAAATGTTAAGTTTAAGAATAATAGATACTCAAGTATTTAAAATACTTAAAAATTAGAAGATTGAACAATTTCTATCATTAAAATAATTCAATAAATCCTAAAACTCATTTTAAATAATGGGGGATCATTATAAATTGTATAATAGTTGAATATAATGTATGATAATTAAAAATAATAGAATTCACACAATAAGTTTATTTATTGCAATTATTGGATCTATATAAGAAAGAATTCAATAATAATTGATGTGATTTAATTATAGCAAATAATGAAAAAGAGTAAATAAAGATATAATATATACAATTGAATGTACTTTAAATTTCAAGTGAATATNATTTTAAGATTTGATATTAATACATAGCAACCAAATAATTATTAACTTTGCAAATATATAATATATTTATAACAAAAGATTCAATTCAGTTACCTAGTATATTCATTTAGCTAACTATCTTAATAATGATGCCAAATATATTAAGGGATTGAAATCCATTGCTTCTCTTTATATTCTTAATTATAGTTTTAATTTCTCTAATTCATGTTTATCAGGAGATTCTTCCTCTCCTTAATCTTCTTATATTTATCCAAGCAAATGATTAATTTCCTATTTCATCTCCTACATTGTAATTTCATCAATTAAGTTTTATGATTGCTATTAAAATTCATTTTCTATGGGAATAAGTTATTCTAATTTTTTTCCAGTCTATTCATCATTGATTGATTTATTCTCTGGATTCTCTTCTTATCCTTCAGAATCACTTCCAAAGTCTGATCCTAATTCTTTTTTTAAACGATCTCTCTCTACCCGTCTTTTTTCTATTTTATCGCAAATCTTTATTTATTCCAACCTCTCTTTATGTTTATTTACTTCTTCTGTCTTCTCTACATATTCTACTAATTTAGCTAATGCAGTATGAAGAGTAGGAAAAATGTCATTTTACAAGTATTCTATTTCTTCTATTGTCCCGATTCTATTATTTGCTAACTACATTAAATTAAAATTTTCAAAAAATGGATCACTATGATGATTTTCATATAAATAAGTCTAACAATAAATATACAAGTATCAAAGATATATCAGAAAGAACTCAACAAAGCTTAAATGTTAAGTTTAAGAATAATAGATACTCAAGTATTTAAAATACTTAAAAATTAGAAGATTGAACAATTTCTATCATTAAAATAATTCAATAAATCCTAAAACTCATTTTAAATAATGGGGGATCATTATAAATTGTATAATAGTTGAATATAATGTATGATAATTAAAAATAATAGAATTCACACAATAAGTTTATTTATTGCAATTATTGGATCTATATAAGAAAGAATTCAATAATAATTGATGTGATTTAATTATAGCAAATAATGAAAAAGAGTAAATAAAGATATAATATATACAATTGAATGTACTTTAAATTTCAAGTGAATATAAAAGAGATAGAAAAATACAATAAAAAATTAAGAGATGAACTATACAAAAACTTGAATGATATAATAGATGATTTAGTATAAATTGTTAAATGAATTAAGATTTTAGGAGAGAAATGTTTCAATAGATTATATTAAATGATAGAATAGATATGATAGATAAATTTAAATTATTGATGAATTATACAATAAATAATAGTAAATATAAAGATATAAAAATAACTGATTATCATATATTATAAAAAAATAGAGTAAATTGAGATAAAAAATGATTAATCTTATTTATGTATTAAGGTTAGATATTATAGAGAAACAAGAATAACTGGTTAAGATTTGAATATTATAAAGGAAGAATTAATAAAAAAGGAATAAGAGAATCCTTAGTTTAATATATATGGTAAAAATGATATAAAATTGATAAAGGTTATGAAATTACAATAAAAAAAAATTGGATATGAGATCTTAATTAGAATAAATCGAGGAGGAATTGAATTTGATGATTTAGGAATTTATTTTTTTATTTGAATAATAAAGAAAGAGAGAATTAATAATATTTAGCATAATTGATTTTAGCAATGATAGTCGTTTTTAATTTTTAATTAAATAAAATAATGAAAAGCGCTTTAATTGCTTGTCTTATCTTGAGCGTATTCAGTGTTGAGATATCTCTTAACAATGTTGCCACCACATAAGCACTTGAGAAATTAAAAGAGTCTTAATGGGCATCATTTATCGTTGATTTTGCTGAAGTTGAATTGTCCAGTGGAGGAGCTCTAACAGAATTAGTAGAGGCTATTAATCAACTAATTGATTAATTAGAAGAAGAATTAGATGATATTCATCATGCCTATTCCAGAAGAACAGATGAACACAATCGTGATGTGACTAGATTAGAATAAGAGATCTAAGATGCTGATAGAGGTATTAAATTGTATCTAAATTTAATAGATATTTTTAATGGTGAAGATTTCATTGATAACGTTCTTATTCCATAAAAAGAAAGATTTTAATCTGCTTTAGCATAATTGAAGACAAATATTGAAGAAAATAGAAGAGTTCTTGATGGAGAAACTTTAAATAGAAAGAAATAACATGAATAATTTTTATCTAACATTGCTGAAATCAATGAAGCTATTGGTGCTGTAGATGAATCTTTAGGATTATTATCATAAATTGCAAATCCATCACTTGTTTAATTCAAAAGAGTTTAAACAAATCTTAATAGAATCTAATCATCATTCTAAAATCATTCATCATTTGCACCAATCATTAGAGCACTTCTTGAATTAGCTACAGAGTAAAACTTTTCTGATTAAGGTTCACTTCAATAAGTATATAATATATAATTATATATAGCTTGTTAAAATCTTTAATGAATTAAGAGTCTAATTTGTTGATTCACTTAATCAAGAGACTGCTGATGAAAATGCTGCAGAAACTAAATTTGCTGAAAGAGTTGCTTAATTAGAAAAGGAATTTGCTGAATTCTAAAGAGCAGTTATGATCAAAAACTCTGAGTTGGCTGCTAATGAATGTATTTAAATATAATAAAATATATAGAAAAATTAGGAGAAACCATTGTCTATGTAGGATAAAGAAAAGATGATAGAGCCACTCTTTAAGCTTAATTACAAGCAGAAAATGATAACTATGCTGCTGAAACTGATTTGTATAATAGAACTGTTTCTGAATACAACAAAGAAATTGATATAAGTAAGTAGGCTTTAGGTTTACTAACTTAACCAAGTTTCGAATAATATGTTAAATCAAAAGTAGGAATTTGATTAATAATTACATTATATCCACAAATTTATTTCCTTTTTTATTTTATATTTATCCAAAAAATTAAAAAATCAATCAATTTGATTTTCATTGAAATTTAAGTGAATCTAACTTATCTTTAGATAAATACTTAATCAATAATATCTTTTATTAAATAAGAATAATTGATTTTAATTTTGCACTTATAATAATAATTTTTATATTAGACTTGTAACTTAATGCAATCAGATCCTTACAATTGGCCTTTTCCAAATAGAAATGATCTAATGAATTTATCTACTATAAGTATGAATAAATCATAAATTGAGAAAATTAAAAAAGAGAGTTTATTTATGATAATCGAGCATAATCCACTATGTCTATAGAAGGCATTGATGGTGCTGCTCCAAAATTAAAGCCATATCAATATGTCAATAAAGAATAATTTTGTAATCGAGATGATGATATTCCAGGAACGAAATCTAGACCTTTAATAAGATATACAAATAGATCAGATAATCAATTAATGATTGATGATATAAAGGGAACACGTCCATAAATCTGTAAATTTTAGACTAATCGATAATCAATTAATCCACTTGAACCAACTTATAAAATTCCTTCTTTTGAATAGGCTGAAACTTATCAAAATAAATTTATAAGAGATAGCTATAATATCACTGATATTGAAGGAACTTAACCATCTATAATTAATCCAAAATTAAAAAAATAACCTATTCCTTTGCCTGATATTGAAGGTTCACATTCAAAATAATTACATGTTTAAAAAGGTAAAAGTCTATCCAAAATTATATATTTAGATGGGATTAATAATCTAGAAGTAAAAGATATCAATAATGATATGCTTCATAAATATATAAGAAATACAAATCCAATTGAACCAGTCTATTCTCATAGAGATGAAGATGGGTATTAAGAATTCTTAATGTAGAAAGAAAATTGAAATTGGTTTTGTTGAAGGTAGTAAAAGTAAATAACTACATCCAATAACAATTAATAAATTTGCATCTTCAATATTAACTACCTAAGATATTGTTGGTGCATAAGCAGGTTCTCATTCTTAAAATTTTTTGAGAAATAATGATAGAAAAGATTACAGACAAATTAATAATATTTAAGATATTGAAGGAGTATAAGCAGGATCACTCAAAAAAGGAATTGTAAGTAAAAGATATACAAATCCATTGATGCCAGCTTATTAAATGCCTGGAAATGCTGAATTAAAGTAATAATATATATATTTTCAGTTCTACATAACCAAAAAGTGTGTTTTCAAAGAATGCTAGTAATTAAATGTTTACAAATGCTTAAAAAATGGATCAATTTTTAACTCTAGGTTGAAAATAGTTTTATGTTATTTATCACATAATATATTGTTTTAATAATTTATAATTAAAATATTTATAGAAACTGTTTTATAGTTATATATAGATATTTACAATTCAAATGTTTTCTTTAAACAGTCTGCCTATAGATGTTTGACTGCCTTTAATATCAATATTTTCTTTATATAGTGATGATTTTCTTATTTCGAAACAAGTTGATTCCTTTATATAATATATATTTATATTACTTTAATATTCTTTATCTCTAATCCTCTCTTATTGAATGCTTCAAATTCTGCTTAAACCATCATTAACTCCTCTTATACTCTGTGATAATCTCTATTCAAAATAACGAATTTTTCTTTCCACATTTCAACTTCATTTTAAAGATAATCAATTTTTTCTTCAAGATTTAATTATTATTTCATATTATTTTAATCTACCATTTACAATTATCTATCTAATTCTACTAATTAAATTTATTTAATTTTAATATCTTCTAATAAAGTATCTAATTTAAATTTAAGTGTATTTTCTGTTTCATTTTTAATTTCTAATTCTTTTTATAAATTTTTCTATTATAATGTATTTTATTCATTTAAATATCTTAATTATGATTCTACTTCTTGTAAATGAGATATCTAAGCTTAATAAAATTATATTTTCTTTTGTAGTTCTTCGTTTAACTCTTCTTATAATTTTAAGTCTGATTTAAGTGTTACACATTAATTACTTATCTCAAGCATTTTAATTTACTACTATTAAATTTGTTAGCCCTACTCTTTTGATAATAATAATTTATATTCATCATCTAATGTAGATTTTTGATTTAATTATTCTATTTCGTCAGATTATTATTTCACTTTCTCTTTCTATATTTTATTTTCATTTTAAAGTCTCTACACTTCTAAACATTGCATTAATAATTATTCTTAAAATTCTTATTTTTCTTACATAATCTTATCTTCTGTTTATTTAAATAAAGATAAACTCTCCTCTAATTAATTGATTTTACTCTAAGTATCCTTCTCTATTTAGATTACTTAAGTTTATAAAATTGCTTTTTCTTCTAAAACTTCTTATACCTATTTTTGTAAAGAATTCACTAAATCAGAAAACTTTTCAGTCTCATTTTCATTTTACAGTTGTTAATTTTCAATTTATTATTATTTCATTTACATTTCATTCTCTAAAAGGTTTTATGATTTTTCTAATTCTTGAATTTAAGTATTTAATTAGTTAACAGATTCTAATAATTGATTTTTGTTTTCTATCTCTTTCTTTAAATCATTTAGAGCTGACTTTTCATTAGCTTATCTTAAATTTAATTCTACTTTTAATTCTTCATTAATTATCAAATACTTTTATAACTATGTATTATTATACAAAGCTGATTATGCAATTTGTTATACAATTTCCAATTGAAGTAATTCTATTTTATCATTTTTTTCATTCATTTAAGTAGTGAGATTAATGATTTAATCATTTAAAGAATTTATTAAATTGTCTCTCTCCCCAACTTCTATTTTAGTATTATATAATTCTGTTTATAAATTCAATATTTCTTAATTTCTTTATTAATATAAATCTACTTAACTTTGTAATTATAACTCTAAATTTTTTGTTTAATTTTCAACCGAAGATAATAGATTAACATTTACCTAATCATTTAGCATTACTTATTCATTTAAATGATTATTTTACTCCTATACGTTTGTTAATTATAATTGTAAATCTACAATTATTTTATTTAAATTATCTTTATCATTTTGTAATTCTTCTATTTTTTAATCATTTAATTATTGATACTACATCATTCTTTGTTCCAAAATATCAAGATTATCACTTTAATTCGAAATTAATGAATCTTTATCTTATAATAATAGTTGATTTTTAATATCTTTTTCTTATATTTCTTATTTCAATTAGTGTATCATATTATTTTAAGTAATAAATTGTTATTCATAAGAGTTTATTTTTTCTAATAATATTGATATCTGTTAATTTCTTTCTTCAATCACATTTTCACCTACTTAAAGCTACTTTTCGTAATCTTGAATTCTGTATTCCTGTTATTATAATTAATCATTTTTATCTTGTATTATAAATTTATATCTTTCCATTTCTTATGTTAGTGTTTGATAATCTTCTTCTACTTATTGCTTTTATTTCATTTAAGAATTAAGGGATTTAATTTTATCCTCTTAATATTAACATGTAGTTTTGAAATTATTAATTTCAGAATTAAGGTATAAGATTTCTTATTAATGATTCTTTTAAGTTTCTTCAAGTAATTTTCTCATACTCTCAATTTCAATAGCTGTACTCAACCATGTTTATTATTCACTATCATACTTATCTATTTAAAGTCCTAAATCATGAATACGTTAATTTAATTTATTATTATCTTATGTTAATTGTTCTATCAGATTTTCCTTATTTTATTTTAATTAATTTTACATGTCCTTAACATTTCTTATCATTACAAAGAACAACTGTTCTTGTTTCAATAGCTGGTTTATTTGTTAAAGTAGTAATAGTAGCTTTTGGTCTAGTTTGACAGGTTGTAACTTTGGCCAGTCTACTACATGAATCTTAGCGTGTATCTCTAGGAGGTGAACTAACAATTCGAGTTGTAGCAATAGTTTAAGTTTAGAACATCTTAGGAGATTGAGGTCTCATTAGTTTTATTATTATTCGTTAAAATTATTAATAATTTTAATACAGTTAAATGAATCAAGCTCAAATAATTCATTAAGTGTAACAAGTATTTAATAAGCTATCTTAAAATCACTCACAATAAATTAGTAAAGAAACTATTATTAGATTTTTGGATTAGTAATCAAATAAAATGTATGACAGAGTTTTATTTGAATAACTTTACTCAAGGATGTAGAAAACTGATAATGGTTTAATTACAATCAATGATTTCATTTCAATTTTGATGGAAGCATTATAATCATTAAAAAATAAAATATCTATTTTAGAATAACAAGTTGCATAAAAATAGCTTAAAGTAGAAGATGACCAATTGTATTTATAGTAATTATAATCTACTGAAGAATATAATTCTCATAAAATATGTAAGGGAAGCAAAATCAGAATTACAATTTTTGATGCTAAAATTTAATTTCCAGGGAATACTAGAGTGGCAATCATTTTAGGTTGTGATGATATTAAATACTCAACCAAACCAGCAAATAGATAAAATCCTGTTTGGAATGAAAAATTTGAATTTAATATTAATACAGGAGATGAGGAAATCTATATTGTTATATTAGATGAAGAATTAATAGAAAAATAAGAAATTGGCGGATAAGCAAAACTAAATTTAAAAGAATTTTATGATTAAAAGCCTCATGATAGATAATTATAATTAAAGGATAAATATGGTGTTGTTCTATATTCCATCCTTAATTTAAGAGTTCAATGGATCCATTCATAAGTACTATTTATTATTATTTTATAGACTAAATATTTCAAAGAGTCAATCAAAGAAAATCAATAAGTTATTGATGATTTATCTTAAGATATTAATGAATATAAAAGTGATATTCTTTAACTCTTTTATCCATTTGATGAAAAACATCAAAATCAAACAAATGAAAAATATCTTGTAACTGAATAATCAACAATATAATAAATCCATGATTTTCAATTTTATGATACATCTTAAGCATAACTTTGGGTTAAATTAGCATTGACTTTTACATTGATATACTTCATATTAGTCTTAATTACTAATCTATTTAAGACACAATTTGTAGATGTAAAATACTATTTTAATAATAGTTAATAGTATTATTTTATAGTTTATTCTACTATATGAATAATAATAAGTTATAATCACTCTTACACTTTAAAATAATTTCAGCTATGATTATAGTAACAATTATTTTTGATATTGTTTGGTTTGTTATTTACACTAATCCTTGGACAACTAATAGCGTTCTCTTTTTTTAATTAGAACATAATCTCTAAATGTATGAAGTAATTATCTCATACATATTACTTGGCATTAAAGTAATATAGACTTCAATTTTATTTAGGTAATTCTATTAACTATTTATGCTAATTTATATTTAATGTGTCCAGACAAAAGAGTCAATATCTATGATGCTCAATATGAAATGATATTTGGACCTCATTTATAAATAAGTTTAGAAAATTAAGATTAAGATGCATATAGCTTCAGAAATACAAATCATTATCTGCATTAATCATTTTCTAAAAATATATGAATATATTAGACTTAAAATTAATAAATATCTATTGAATTAATTCTATCTATATTCCTATCCAACACATATATTCATTTATTTTTTATAGTATATAATCTTTATTAATATATGATTATTAATTATTAAATTAAATAGTGTAGAATATTTTTTGTATTTTTTAAATGTAGAATTATTTTTAAATTATAAAGATCAAATTAATCAAAAATTTATCATTATTTAAACAATTAGCTAAATATGCTTTTGCTTTTAGTATTTTTAGGACTTTATAATTGTGTCTAATTTCCAATGACACAAAGATGTGCTTGTAGTGAATTTGAAGAGAATACTTGCAGGTATATTTTTTATTGCTCTTGGGATGGGTCTTCTTGCATAGAAATGTAGTGCAAATATTAGTAAAAATCGTTGTGTAGTAAATTAATGTCAAGTTATAGTTGTAAATGGAATGAAGTAGCATAAACTTGCGAAGATCATAAATATGAATGCAGTGAATTAACTAAAGATGAATGCTTTATATTCTTGTTTGGAATGGATTGTATGTGGCAAGATAATCAATGCAAGCCACAAGACTGTACAGAGGATGACAATTGTAATCCTTTAAAATGTTCTAAAATTAATTAAAAATGTGGTTAATAAGGAAGTGACTTAGACTGTTCATCTTAAACACCCGAAACTTGTTCAAGTTTTGATGGAGAAGGAAACATTTGTAGTCTGAATAATGAGTAAGAATGCAAAGAGTATTATGCTTTTTCATAATCTTGTTCAAGTTATGAGGATAGACTAGTTTAGTGTAATTCAATATGCCATTATGATATTGAAACATAATCCTGTATTCCAAAAGAGTGTAGTCAGATTACTGAGGAATCACAATGTAATTATTATTTGCTTGATGTACCATCTTTAGAAATGATTCCATGTATTTGGAGAAATGATAAATGCAATGAAGTTACTGAAGAAGATTTTCAAACTTTTAATTAATTCGATTGTATTGCACATGGATTGGTTTTTTCCTCTTGGTAATCTTCTACTTCTACATGTAAATTATGTACTTCATTGGTTCATAATCCAGAATATGAATTCTATGAATTATTAATGAATGGTATTGAAATTTTAAAATGGGCTTTGGTGTATATTGCTCTTTAAATATGACTTGATTTAATAATAAAACCAATACACATATAATATTATATTTTAGTAGACTCTATTATTATTTATAATTCAAAAATTTAATTATAAATAATATGTAATTAATTAAGTTTATAATTTAATTATCTACATATTTTGAATAATAATATTCAATAACTTAGAGATTGTAAGTATACACATGACAAAGTTATTAATATTTAAAGTATAGATATAATTGATTAAGAAATAATTGAGATTTGTTAAATATTTAAAAAAATATATATTTATATTTGATTGCATGAGCAGAAAAGAATAAGACATTAAGAGATTGATTACTTCATAAGTAAGAATGATAATTAAATTTAATTCGATTTTTATATAGTATCATAATTCTATTTCTCTTCTTAATAGCATTTAAAAGAGAAATAGAATTCTATCTTAATTTATTTAGAAAATCTCCAATGTTTAAGGGTTTAGAACAACTCAACACCTAATTCAAAATTCAATTTTTTAAATCTATCATCAACATACTCTTACTAAAATTCAAATTAATAAATTTAGAAATGACAAATCCTAGTACTACTTCAAAGGCCAAATAAAACCATAAAGGAATTTTTACAGGTAAAGCTATAAGTAAATAAATATCCTCTATTAGGGATAAATATAATTTTAAAATTACTGTTGAGCAATTATTATTTTTCAAATAGTGCAAGCTATATTTATTTTTAATTCCTTTAATTCTTTTCAAAAACAAAAATCATCAACATTATATCATCTATCTTAAGTCGAGCAATTCATCTAATATTAATTTTCCTATAAGTTTTCCATATTTTAAAACATCTATTTATGGATTAAAATATAGATCCATGTTTTAAGCAAAATTATTTCAAAATATCATCAATCCCCTAATTTGGAGTTATCATAAATAACTTAAGAGTCTTTTTGATCCAGTACCTATAAATTTTCTACTATTTTATAATATGTGAAATGGGAAAGTATTCAATAAAGAAAGCTACATAATCAAATTGTGCTTTAATAAAAGAGTTCCAAATTTGAGTCATATTGCTATTAGGTAAATATCTATTAAAGATTTTAGTTAGCAACACAAAAACTTAAATCTTTCCGAATACCTAAAAGATCATATTTTTCTCCACATTCTTCAAATTAGTCATAATTAGATTTAGAATAATTATTTAAAGTCAAAGTTATTATCAAAAGGAAGAAAGGGACTAAAAGAAATAATTGATAAATTAGATAAATTCATAAAAACACTAAGTCTTTCCTTGCTTCTTTATTTTAGTTTGATGTTAGATTTTCAAGATCAAAGATGAGTCATAAAACCAATTTACAATGAATTAATTCTCTCTATAAATATCATTTTAAACCTAGTTAACTTAATATCTTCCTCTTTTATAGAAACTATGAAATTGCAACTTCTAAATAGTAACTTTCCATTGGTTCTTAGTGCTTAATATTTATGATAAATATAGTAGTCTAATAGCTTTTATTTAAGTTTTGTTAATTTATTTTCTTGAATTTTGACAAATAATTATGCTTTTCCAAAAATAGCAATACAAAAAGGTCAAGAAATATCCAGCTTCGAGAAATAGACCCGCCCTAAATTTATTAAATCTTTTTAATGATTTATAAATAATATAAATAATACTCCTCATATAAAATATAACCCTAAAAAATTATCACAAGATGTTTTTAATTAAAATTAATAATAATA